CGGCAAGTACGGAAAAAAAGCGGGGGAGAGGATGCTCTTTAGGATGGCGAAACTGAATTATCAGATCAAACAGCAGCGCCGTTATATTAATAAAATAGATTTTGCCCGCCGTTCTCTTCAAAGGGGAAGAGCCGGCGCGCCGTCGTTTCGCGTCTAACCTCGTTTCGCGCAACTCCCGATTTAATCATGTTGCACGACTAAAACGTAGCCTTTTCATTTTCGTAATAAACCCTACCCCGTGCGCGCGAGCGAGGAGCACAGCCGAGAAGAAGCCGTTGGGAACCTTATTACGTTAAGTAAATGCGCGAGCCGCCGTTCGTCTAGCAGCGCATTAATTAATGCGTCAGTTTGATGTACCCGCTGCCTGACGATTACGTCGGAAATTATTTCTGTTATAACACGCAACCGATTGCTTCCGTAGCACAAAAGGTCTCGTAAAATCGGTACACTGGTCAATTTTTTTTTTTTTTTTATACCGAGAAACCGCAACGATAATTTTTAATTTGACTTGGAAGTAAAATTTTTCGCTTTTAGCATCTGCCAGCTTCCAATATTGCATATTGACGTTTCATTTGCAAACAGCAAAGAGCAAATTCTGAAACATCTTCCATCAAGCTTCCTTTAAATTAATTTTACAACAAGCTTCTTCTAATATTTTTTCAATATTAAATGATTGGAAATTTTTACTTCAAATAATTATTTTGAATTTAAGAGATTAATATGTAAAAATTGTGATATTTAATCATTTTTAGACAACAATTTTTAGCGTGATATTAAGAACGCGAAAAAAAGATTTGAAATTAAAATTATATCTATATCTTAATATTTTCAAGCATGTGCGTTCTTATGCTGAAACTTGATGTGAATTAGTGCGATTGTTTTTTCAACTACATTGCTTCGGCGATTACGTAGTAGGCTTAAAAGCACCAGTCTGATAGGAAGGGTGTCATTTCTACGCGTGATTAAGACATAGTCCTTTAATTCTTTATAACAATAGACGGAGGGCACGAGAGAGAAGTGGGAAGCCGCGGGCGCGATAAGGAAAATTTAGACTCGTGGACGTCGACAAGCTGATCGAAAGCCCATTTAATCCCTGAGCCGCGAAGAGAAACAAAAAGCGAGATCGCATCGAGTTCCATTTCAATTAACTAGAGCAAACTGTGATTTATCTCGGAGGGAGATACTTTAAGAAGCATAACGGTTTAAATTGACACACTTCTCATTATTACGCATTTGATATATTCAGCTGTTTTATTTAATACGTAAAAGTCGTACATGTAATTTTCGCGATACGATATCCACCAATTAGCATACCTGACAATTTATGTACCTAAAAGTTAATAATTATAAATTTAGATATATCAAGGCACTTCAAACTGAAAAAGAGAGAGATATAGAATTGTGAAACGAAAAGATAACGAATAGATACATGCTTAAGAATGGAAGGAAATATCCAAAACTCATTAAAGAATCTAGTGGAGAGAAAGCGCGTGATTCATCATTTTATACGTAGAAGTTCAAACTTATTGCATATTCATAATGTCGAGAATAATAAATTATAACTAAAAATTATGTAAGTTAAAATTAAAAAATTGCGACTTAATTTAATTCGCGCGTCGTCTTATTAAAATCATGCGGAAAGCACGTCGAAGTATTTGATCGAACACTTTAGGCATCGTTCGCTTGCGAGCATAAGCAAATTACCAATTATTCGCTTGATCCCGTCCCGATTAAAGACAGTATAGATCTTACATGGGACGAGTCCCTTCTACCAACGACTCGTCGGGATTAGCAGTAGGAGTGTTTGCGAACTTGATTTTTCTATGGTGCTCTCTCTCTAGCAATTACGCCGACGGTTATGTTGAGTTACCACTCAAGTCTCGATCATTTCGAGAGTTTTCGATTACGGAAAGAGGCAGCCGAGTCACATTGATTGCAGCCATACCTTTGATCCTCATCTAATAACTCTTAATATGTTTCTCACATTCGAATATGTATTTTACATATTAAACCAGCATGAACATTTCTCTTAAATAATTCAACAGTAATAAACTTCTTTATGGGTTTTCATTAAATTTTATAAGCGTATCTTTTATTATTCGATTAGTTGCAAAAGTGAAAAATATCGTCTTTGGAAAAAAAATATGAATAGTTTAAAATGCATCCGATGCGCATTATTTGCATTTACATAAGCGGTAGTATTTATGCGTGAATGCAGAATAAACAAGAATAGAATGCGATTCTCATGCTACAGAGTACAGAGTTTACGACAAAGAGCTCATTTACTATCGACAAAAAAAAAGAGGAGAACGAGGGAAATGAATCCCTGCAAGAGTTACCACTATCGGCGGCTCTTTAATCAGAGATCGCGGAGATATGTGGACTAACGGATAAAGGTTGATAGGCAAACATACGCATTTTTTATCTGCTTATCTTTGCATACCGCATCTGTTACTTTGTGAAGCCATTCATACTCCATCAAAAAGCTTAAGAGATATCCAATTCATATCAATGATAAAACCTAATCATAATTATAGTTTCTATAATAAAAATTTATATTTTTGAAAGATCTCTTGAATTTTGAGTCGCGATAATCTTTAGTAGCATGAATTTTACATTTCAAGCATTTTTACTTGCGTATTATTGACACGACTCAAGTATTAATTACTTTTTTTTGTCGTTTTACATGATGTAGATAATTATTAAATAAAATAGCGATGATATTTAAATTTTTATATATCCGTTCGAAAAGAATTCAACATCTATCTTCAGCAAAACATGCAAGATTTAATATGATATAATACGTGAAACTCTTTAATCTTCCTTTATAGTGTTAATATTTATCAAAATCTGTAAAAAGCTGCAGTATTTATTAATAAGAAAAATTTAACTGACATTAAAATTACAGTGTTACTTTTAGCCATTTTAGCATAAGTAAATGCAACACACAAATTTATATATCGCGCAATTCATTATCATGTTACATCATAACTTATTAATACGTCAACATGTACAATGTCATGATCATTATTTGATGACATCACCTGATCATGAATAACATCAATAGGCAATATTATCAAATATATGTCATGCAACTCATTATCGGTTCTATTTGAGATAAAATTGCATCGGTACTGTCTCGAAGTTTCGATAACAATCGTGGATTACAATCACGAGTGTGCATTGCGGAAGGAAAAATCGGTGTGAAAAAAAAATCGCGCATTATTTTTCAGGGTGGGAGTGACGGCGAATGCACTTAACGACCGTCAAATAAGTATTACGACGTACAAAATGATCGATCGCCGTTACACATCTGCGCACTTTAAAGATACGAGCGAAAAGCAGCCTCGCCGCTGAGTAAAAATCGTGACTAGGCCTTTCTCGCATCGGCAGGAAATTAATCATAATAACTACCACTACCGGTGCGCGCAGTCGACAATAATTCTGATCGCACCTTCGTCATTCATTATACAAGGCCAGACAGTACGATCGGTGAACGTGAAATTCGCAGATTCACCCAACTGCAAAGTACGCCAAAAAAATTCACAATGCGGAATTTTCTTTTTACAGCAGTCATATGCTAGTTGAGATTATCGCGTAAATGTATGATCTTTTCGTTGTAAAATAATTTTTTATCGGCAAAATTAAGATAATAATAATTATTGCACTTTAACATAAACATACCACATTTTGATAAAATAGTATTTTTAATTAAACTTTATTCTAATAAAAAGCTTATTTTATGAGCTAAAAATTAATTTTGAACTGTACGTATTGTTTTTTCACGTATTTAAATAATATTCGACATGCAATGTTTCTATTCTCGAGAGATGAAAGTCTCAGATAAGATTTCTCTTCCCGGAAGGACGCGAGTGAGAAAAAAGGAGACTAGGCGTGAGATAAGGAGGAAAGTTCAATGCGTGCAAAGGGGTTAACCGACGTATTGGGGGGTCCTCGCGGAGGAAGTTGACCCAGGTGCGAGTCGTCACCCTGACGAAGATCGGATCTTGCACGATGCAACGAAAACAGTTTGCGTCTTGTCACTTCGCGTGACTCGCGTATTAAGTTCGGTATTGGCGCGACAACGCGGCTGTATTTTCAGACAGGGTGGTCCGTATGCCTCAAAGCACCGAATATTCTTTCGTTCCATTCAAAGGCACCGTTTCGGATGGTGTTTGCGCAACAAATGACTCGACCAGATCAAAAGATGCGAATTTCGAACATGAACCGCGCTCGCATCAAGTGAGTGCGCGCGTAAAAACACGTCAGATGCTAATAGCTTTAGGGAGAAAGACAAAGATCTCTTGCCAATCAATGGGAAGAGAAACATAGTTCAAGAAAGTGAGTAGTTTCGAACTAAGAAATTTTCACATGTTTCAAATAACGCGAAATTCATCGTTCGAGCCTTGATTTGTTTTTTTTTTTGTTTAATTTTGTACGTTTTTACCGACATTCGAATAATTTGCTTTTTATCAAAAATACCATCTTAGCGGTTCTAGTCCTTTCACATCGGGTAATTTAAAAAAAAAAAATATGAGGAAAAAATACGTAAAGACATGTTACGGAAGTTACAATTTCATTGTAGATGATTGCCCACAATTACGTAGTACGTTCGTATCATCCAGAAAAAAAGTGGAACGCTACTAATTACGCTTCGATTACCCTAATCAGTGAAATAATACTTCAATCGCCTACAGAGATCAAGTTTAATGGTCTGCACATTCTTAATAATCGAATAACGTTGACGACACTGCCGTATTATCGAATAAAAAATTCAATACGCTTTCTTGCGTTATAAAAAAATTCAAGCTTTTCTACAATGCAAAGTAATGTAATTCACTTCTGTGACAGTCAGTCGTTTGGCTTTCGTTTCAAATATACGTTAATAAAAATGTTATTATTATTTAAAAGGATTGAGATCTTATACGACGTCAATATCAAAGTTTCAAGATAACATAATATAAAACTGCACTCATAAATTGAGCGGTTGAAGGACTTACCCAGCAATATCTTGAACGCGAGTCTGCAAGACCGTTTTCTCAAAGGGCTCTTCAGGGATCAGGCTGCACAGCAATTGCGTCGCGCTGGCGGCGACTATTCCATTTCCGGTTGAATTGGCGGATACATCCTGAGTCTGAGCGTGGTCGTCGAGACTAGTCAAAATCTGTGAACGCCATTGTCACGAGAATAAGTTTAATTTTTACGAATCGAGGTATCTATGTATTTGTTTTTAATACAGGAAAAGCTTTACGCGTTGCGTGATTTTTATTTTCTAGTTTTTAATATGATTTTATTTTTTCAAAACAAAAACAATTTAAATATTCATCGATCAAAATAATCGAATATTATTTAAATTACTAAAATTCTTTCGATTATTTTGATCGATGAATATTTAAATTGAGTCGTGTCAATAATATATCTTTTTCTTCAGATTTTAAATAAATATTAACAACATCGATGTGTTTGTTCGAAGTATATTATAAGAAATATTATTGGACAATTTCTAAATATATCTCAGAAATTGTCCAATAATATTTCTTATAATATACTTCGAACAAACACATCGATGTTGTTAATATTTATTTAAAATCTGAAGAAAAAGATATATGACGGAGAATTGTATATATTTCATTATCTATCGTGAAAGAAGTGCGGTAAATTAGAGAAAGGTATTTAAGCAATAAAGAGCGAGAAATGTGAGAACTGTAATCCATTAGACTTCAGTATACAATTACAGCTCGCAATTAAAAGCGACAAAAGTTCATCGAAATATTAAAAAAAAAAAAAGAAAAAAATATTATTTTGATCACCAAACGCACCCTGGATGTATCAAATAAATAATAAACAGGTCAAATCACTGATTGCCAGTCATTAAGTGAAAAAATGCTGTGTGTTGTATTTTTCACAAGAGCCATATATATTAGCGTGTTTAAAAAATTAAAAGAATTTCAACATATTTTCCAGCTTGCTCGAACTGGAAAATTATCGCTCGCATTATCAAAGGCTAGAGGACTATTCTATTCTAGACCACAAATTCCTAATAAGTTGAGTCATTGTCATGGATGCGAGCATGGGATTAGAGCAACCCAAGCTAGATTACACGGACACGAGCGCAGTTAGAACGTTAAATTAGTGATAATGAGTCAGAAGGTCCGGATAAGAATTCTGGAGACAGGAATATGGGTTCTAAACAGTTTATTCTCGGTTCCGATAAGCCATTCGTGGAATCCTATCGAAAAGTCGTACTACACGTTTGTCCACTTTTGTTTAACTTCTAGCCGCTGTGATCTGCTCACTTGAAAACATCGCAGGTTGCGTCGAAAATTACGCTTGAATTTTAACGAATAAAAGCGAGATTATTTTGATACCAAACAATGATTGATTTCTTAATCTTGTATGCAAAGCGAATCGATGTTCGATCCATCGCTTTTACGAAAACTTTATCCAAGTTCGGAGAGCAATCTCTAATAAAATAATATGCAAATATATTTTCTTTGCTATTTTTTTTTATCAAAAAATGTACACGCAGATTTTTAAATACTCCGAAATGTTTGCTATTGATTTTTAAAGGTCCGTGATACAGCGTGGCATTCGGGAGAAAATATTAGCGTGCATAATCTTTTAAGAACTATTGTTGTGCCGGTCGAGCCTGGGATGAAAAAGATAGTGTTACCAACCGGCTGCTCATAAGAGGTAGCGAAATAATCTCCAACGAAACATTAAAAAGTGGTTTGACCACTGCCTTGACAAATTCAATCCCATCCGTATCCAGAAAAAAAGGATTGCCACGACTGTCTGATACGGGCGAACGAAAACAAGACGCCAACAAGACGTGAAATTTCGAGGAACGCATATATCGAGTATGTGCGACCATAAACGACCGATGCTTTTATGTTAATCCAGTTATTTGCGAACTAAGCGTCGCAAAAAGAGCAGGTCGATGAAAAGATCTTATTGTTAGAAAATTGTTATAATGTCGATATTTATTTTATATTATAATTAAATAGTATAAAATATCATTCTAATTTACAATGTCACTTGTGTGTACAATACATACTATAAATTGTCATATTTCCTTCGTCTCTCAATCTACATTGCTCGAACTTCAATTCATTCAATTCAGAGGACAGTTTTTTTCCTCTTTTTTTTTTACGGTCAGCAAATTCAGTTTGCAGTAATCGAAATCGTTCTTCCGCATCCATCAATCGGAATGCAATCGCGCAAAAATAAACATATGAATTCTCGAGCGAATGGGAGACAGAGGAATCGAATGATTTCTAGCAATTTACGTGGAATTGTAAATTTGTTTGGCTGACGAACAAGATTGGGAAACATTCGCGGGGACTCGGCGAACCCCGTAAAGCGATTCGTCTCTTTGCGTAATGGTCTAGATTATGTTTTCCTGGTCAGCCGGGTGGATTAAAGCGATTCATTTTGATTTTCTTTTAGCTCCGCTAAAATCGCATTTTTATCTGCGAGATGTATTGCGATTCATAAAAAAAATTCATAGTTTGAAGCGATATTAAAATGACAAAACTTCGCATAGTTAATTTCTTCAGTTTCTGCTTTCCAATGGAATACGCAGGCTGTTTTTCGCATCGTGCACGATTGCACTTCGATCATATTAAACGCGTGTACATCAGAAAACACGGTGATATGAATAGTTATAAAGATAAAACGGGAATTCCGCAGGAATTCTAGCTCTGCTTATCGCTGAATTTTTAATTCGGCGACTTTTTATCTCCGTTGACTTTACGACATCATCTTTTTCTGGTCCATTTAGTAACGAGGTGAACTCCCTTGTTTCTATTTTCCCGAAGAATCTCGTATCGCGTACGGGGCCGAGCCTGACCAATAATACCAAACGATCTAACGATAAACGGAGCTGCGCGATTATACGAACAGCAATAAAGGCGAGATGTCCGTATATAAAACAGGTGGATGCGTTCCCTATCCGTTTAAACTGAACGGAATTCAGTAGTTATAAGGTGGGCGTAACGAATGTGTATCTCGACTATGTTGTATTACAGGTATTATCACGTTGTCAACGAAAATACGCCGGGAGACAGAAGTGTCCATAAATGAAATAAAGACGAATAATAAGAGAAAATGACGCGAAATTCCCTTAAGAACGCGGCACGCATACCTGTCTTTAATTATTTTCAAGTACTGAAAACGTTATAAAACGTTAACAGATCGTACTTTGCCAAGGCACTGTGTAATTAAAAGCGAAAAAAAGATAGTAAAATTTACATGTTTACGTTAAAAACATTTTACAATTTTCTCACAACTATTATGAACAACAATAAGGCTATTAAAAAATTTGTTTCTAATTATCAAATGACCAGTAATGTTCGTGCGATTTCACTGATAATGATTTTCGCGAAAAACCGCACAAAACTGAAAAATGTACATATTTAGCGTATGCTGCAATTTCCTTGCAATTATTATGAGCAAGTGTTCCTTTGTCAAACTAATCAAATATCCAAATTCCATCCGCTTCCGTGTGTGAAATCGGTTGCCATCGCGACCGTTTGGAGATGTGGAAAAAAAATTGCATTGCGCATTTCGCAATTCTAGGACGTGCGAAGAGATCGTTGAAAAAGCGCCGATAGCAGGAGGACGAGACAAAAGATTAGGCCGGGGTCCTCGAAACCGGGGCTTGATGGAAGTGGAAACAGAAGTACCCCACGCACATTCTCGCAGACGGACTTTCCTTTCACCGTATAGCCCGGCTTCGTCCGCGCGCGCGTATATACACGCGTGAGTGAGTGCCGTGCGTGCACGCGTATCTGTATGTGGGTGACGTCACTAAAAGCTCTCTCGCCGCTAATGCATTTGCGGAGGGGGATCCTTGGAGGAGGGAACGGGAAGGAGGTGGTGCCAGTGCTGTATCTATGGAGCGTGAAGAATCGATGGCGAAATCACGCCGATGGATTCGTCGGAGGCGATGTCGACGATCGGCCGAAAAGAGGTACGTCGTTGTTAAGCATATGGTGACGCTAAAAGCGTAAATCGTCACGTTCGATGATTTTAGAGAGACGCGTGCCTATCACAGCGCGTAAATAACAGAGAAATTCCGAGATCGTTCTACAGTTTCTAGATAAGTTTCCGTAAAAGCACCGAGATAAATGCGTAAGCGCGTAAATGCACTGATAGAATTTTCTTTTTTTTTAAATAAATTTTCTGTTTCGTTGTTATGCAAAGTAATATCATACGCACTTGTTTGCGCGTTTACTTATCAATATTTTACATGAAATATTATTATATCTGCGAAATGTATCATAAATGTCTAGCGGTTTAAAGTGTAAAAACAATCAGTTGCGTTAATTACTTTTTGCAACTAACTGCATAAGGCGCTCGATATTTACCGAATATGTATAGAATGAGACAATCAGGCATACATGTATAAATCAAATTAAACCGAGCCGCTTTGTTTTGTTAACCGTGCACCGAATCGTGATCAAATATTTTTAACTAATTGAACCGCAAATTCAATGAAAAAATAAATGGACAAATAAAAGGTATCAAAAAGCTCTCAATATATCTTTTTCGAATATGTGTTCTCTCAGTAATAAAATCAGGACTTTGAATTAATCAAGAAAGCTATCGATAAAAATTAATTATCAATATTACAAGCGATGATCCTGTACATCAGTTCGGTCTATGGGATAAACATTGTTTAATCCATGAATTCATTAATTAAGAAACTTTCTACTAAATTTAATATAATATATTATATATTAAACATGCACTATCGGCATATTCATCATTCATAAATGTAACTAGCATATTGTTCGAAATATTATTATGAATAGAATTTACGTTACAAAAATTTCCTTGCGCTTTAAATCAAAACTTTAACGTTTCCAAAATTAGTTGTTGTTTTTATTTACTGAACAGAGAAGTGATACATGCCACAACTCCGCGATGTGAAATCGTGGATCCCGAAGATTCTTAATCCTTATTTTGACAAGTTGGACAGGATAGACAGGATGACAGGGGCATGTCGTCTTTACCATCGTCCCTTTACCAACGTCGAAACGAGATTAAAAAAAAAAAAGACGCAAACAAGCTGTAATCTACATGCCTATCTTTCACATTAACTCATTTTAGAAGACGACGTGCTTATGTGCATTCGAATATCAACGTGTACCTTGGCTTACGTCCCGAAACTTTACCGAGAAATGAAAATTTTCATTCGATAACTTTCAATTAAAGCACATTACGAAAAGAGAGCATATAACATTACATATATATTTCTCCTAAAGAATAGTTTATTCGATTAAAAAATGTTTAATTGAAAAATATTTTCAGATTAAGTCGCTTTTTTTTTAAATTAGAACTAAAAAATATAGATTTAAAAAATTAAAAATTTGATAAAAATCGTTTTTACTCAAAAGATTGTTTATAAGAAAAATTTATACGTTCTTTCCAATAATGAAAAATAAATATGATTAAAAGTTTCATTATGAACTAATCCTCAAGTAATTTCATATTTTAAGACTCTTGGTTTATTAAAGCCATTTTGTAAGAATTTGTTCGAAATTGAGCAATGCACACAATTTCGTTATTTATTTGATTACTTTTAAAGTTTAATTTGCAAATATTTTTATTGCTTATACAAAATATAAAATTTCGATATTGATATTCGACGTAAATAGATGACAATCATTACGATAATTTTTAGGCATAATTATACAACAAAGAACTAAAAATAAAATACGAGATATTAATTCAATTCTAAAAATCGATTTTTTTGCTAAAATTAAAAAAAAAATTAGTACAATTATCCGGAGAGCTATTGATTTCTACTAGAGAGTTAACTCTTTTCTTTTGAGATGGCAGCATGTATCGGGTAAATAGGGATAGATGTTGATTCAAACTATATTTTGCAACACAAGACTCAAAATTCTAAAAATTTTCTATCGAAAAGCACAGAATGACAGAGCATAAAAAGCAATGTGAAGAAATCTAATCAATTGTTGATTTTAATTTTAAACCGAATTGAGAATTATGTTCAGAGAATAATGAAAGACAAATGCAATACAGAGATATGAAAGAAGCCTCCAAATAGCTTCAGCTATTTTAGTAGAGTACACCGAAAGATTTTTTTCAATTTCGGTGTTATATTTAAAATTATTATTTCTTAGTTTTTTGTTTATTGCAATTTATTTAGCCAAAAATGGATAAAATTGAAAAGATGAATATATATTCATCTCTGCTCGTTTTTCCATTATAAATTATTAGATTGAAATGATCACATGAAAACAATTACTCTAATAATCTCTATTAAAGCTACATAGAATAAATGCGAACTTACCTCTAAACGTTGTAAAAGTAGGTCCAAAATAACGAGAATTTTGTTGCTTAATAAAATAGTCTCTGTGCTCGCAGGATTCCCATCAATACCCGCTTTGTAAACTCGACATAGCGATATGATTGCCCTAAAATGTTAAGTATAAATAGAAAATATCTTATAATACTAATTGAAAACTTTTATTAGTACCAAATTACAATATACTTACTTATTTGATAAATTATTCGACACATTTTGTGTATTTAAGCCTAGATTCAACAAGTTTGTTAAGGTGTCAAATCCATTCAAACTTTTGAAAGCATCTTGATCAAATGGACACTGAAACAGAATAGACAGAATGTAATTATGTGAAATAATGAAAAAAGATAGCGATTTCTTCATCATGGGACTTACCGATTTAGAGAAAGCTCGAACAATTTCACCTAAACAGCGCTCCAAGGCAGCAAGTGCCACAGTCGTCCACGCAGACTTGGAATGATTATTATATAATTTATCTAACTCTTTTAAATTGCGTCTAAACTTGGCTTTATTGGCTGACTCGGTAGATAAATTCTGATTAGATTCATTTTTATGTTTATCTTCCCATTCTTGACCGCGTAAACTCATGCGCTGTTTTATTTTTCTACATCGGCGTTTCAGTGCCTTTTGCTTTTCTTTCGCAACTTTGTTGTTGTTCGTGTTATTATTATTAACTACGGTGATTGGAACATCCCGTATCTGCGCAATATTAAATCGTTGAAGTTCATCTCGCGATGGCTCGCGATTATCATGCGCATTTCGTACTGCTTCAAGATGCGGCTTTCCTTTCAAATGGCTCAAAAGATGCACTTCGTTAGATATCTGTAAGAAAATAATGCAAATAATATAATATCTCGTAAAAAAGAGAAAAATAGCGTTGCTTAACCGAAAAACTTACAATCGTGTCGCATAGGGAACATTGTTTTTGAGCGGGATAAGATTTAAGAGTAGGTGATACTTCTTCCGATCTTAAAATTGAAGATTCAACCGCGCGCTGTCGAATGTGTTCAATATTCTCCACATGCCGTCTAGCGGATTCTTGTTGCTTTTGCGCTATTTTCTTCTGTAATTCTTCTTGATTAGCCAGTTGAGCTGCATGAAGTGCCGATAAGCGTTCCTCGCGATCTCGTGCTTTTTCCCTTGCTAATTCCTATAAAGTAAAAATTGATGGATTTAGAAACTTCATCTATTAAATTGAGAATTTTATTAATATATAAATGACGATAAATAATTTTTACCTGTCGTTCTTTTTCTCTTTCGAGCTGCATTTTGCCAATCCTTTCCTCGCGTTCTCGTCGCGCTTGTTTCATTTTTTGTATCCGTAATTGTCGTTCTGCTTCCAAAGCTCTTCGACGTTCTTCGGCTGCGGCTTCTTTGGCAGCTTTTTCTTCTTGTCGACGTTGACGTTCTTCTTGAATGCCCTGCAACCTTTCTTCTTGTTCCTGACACAATGCCATAAAATCATGTCTCTTATTTTGCGCTTCAAGTTCGTTGATAAAGGCTATTTCTTTTAATTTCGAATCCTCATCGTGCGCTTTTCGCACTATTTCTAACAAATGTTGCGTTCTATTTTCCTCCGCCCTTTTAAGTCTCATTTCCATTCTGATCCTTTTGTCTTCTATTAATTGACCCTTTGCGCTTTTAACGTCCTCCACTTTGTTTAATAAGTCCCGCAAGCGTTGTGATTTCTCCATTAGTAACTTTTGACGTTTATGTTGCGCACAAGCTTGTTTTGATTGGTATCGTCTCAATGTTTCTGTAAGTGATCTCTTTCGCGATGGGGACGAAAGTTTCTGATGCAATTCTAAAGCACGCCCGGGATGGCGAGCCACTAATGCGCGCAATTGCGCGAGAGTATCGACTCGCTCTGCCCAAGACATTCCCTCTAACATATTTTCGTACCTGTAACATCGGTTTTGTTAGTAAAGTGAAAATTATAATGAGACACTAAATAAAATACCTAGCTTTTACATACCTATCTTCTAGACTAATATCATCGGTGACAACATTGAGCGGCACTGCAGGCTCGTCTTCAAGCACCATTTCGCCATCAGTTTCGTCTGTTTCCGTATCGATATCAATTTCAGTAGATTCCAATTCCAAAATTTGCCGTTTCAAAGATGCTTCTTCATCAGATAGTTGCTGAGATCTTTGAGAATCCGCTTCTTCCGTCTTCCTCTCTTCCTCTAAAATGATTCTTTCTCTTTCTGCCTGCGCGGCCATAAATTGTTGTATACGTTTCTCAAGTAATTCTGCATCGTTCTTGAAGATAGCCGCGATGACTGACGTCGAATTAGTATCGCACAAATTTAATGTATTTTTTTTAAGTGTATCTTCGAAATTACTTTTAATCGTAGACGTTATGTATTCTCCTTTAACTTTTTCAACTTCGTTATTCATATTTTTGCCAGATTTGCCTACAATGCATTTCTTCTTTTGCTTGCTATTTCCATCAGGAGTGTAACTCGTCTTCTTTATTTTCTCTGATGGACTTTCTATTGATAAAGCTGGCAAGGATAGAGCGGTACTTGGCTTGTGGAAGCGCGTAGACATGTTTAAGTTATGAGTGCTCCCTCTTCTACAGCGATTTCTAACTGTTTGCCAACCATCGTTTTCGTCTTTTAATTTTGGAGATACTGTTTGCTTAGTTAAAACTTCTACGGATCCATTCATGTCTTTATTTTGGTCTTTTTTTAAAGCATTTTGTTCAGATAACTGAAAAAAATGTGTGTCAGTTTTTATTAAGCTTTGAATTAATTTAAAATAAATATATACACATTTTATGATAAAAATGTAGACAATATCGATAAGATTTATCTTACAGGTAGATCCATAATTAATCATAAGTTTGTGAACAAATTAAAAAATTTCACAATCAGAACTATAGAAAAAAAAAATTAATTTAATATAATGCATTACAAGAAAAAAATTACCTTATTTTCAGGCGGTTGAAATCTTCCTCTCACTATAACAGATGTCCCCGGTCTTGTTTTACTTGAAGCAGGTAAATTTTTGTCACTTAAGCAAGTTTTACTCCTAATAAATTTTGGAGTTTTTAATGAAGTTGATGACTGTGCTTTAGATCTCGTTTGCGACACAGTTGAATAGGCAGGTCTGTTTGTATTAATTACCGCTTTATCTAAATTATTAGATGTATTTACCACAGAAGTTCGGATATCTTTATTACTTGATTTGTCATCAACTTCATTGGAGTGTTTATTTACTTCGCAATTGACTTGACTTGCTTTTTCTGAGCCTGAAATATTCTGAGCCACAGATGATTTTGTATATAGTTGTTCGCTATTAATGTTGTTTTCACACTTTTTAATACTATCCTTTTTAACTTTGGCATTAATTTCATTTTTTCCCAAACCAGTATTATTCTTACTGTCTACGTGTTTTCCATCTGTTTTGTCATCATTAACAGTTACACCATTCGTTTCTTTTTGCATATGTTCACAATTAGTACAGGAATTCAATTGATCATTTTTATCGCCTTTGTACGCTTGTTCTCGTTTTTCCACGGATAAATTAGAATCTGCTAACTTTACAGTGTTGCTATGCAAACAATCCTTTGTTTGTTTAGAAGTATTTTTAACATCTATTTTATTCTTTGAATCACTCTCATTTAATGTCTTGCGATCTACGAAGCTATTCGTTTTCGATTGCACTGACTGTTTCACAAAAGTTTTATTAAGTGCTTTTGTCGATGCGGATTTTTCTTTGTTGGTTGTTTGATTCCCTACCTTGTCTGGTCCAGTTTTACGTTTCTCTTTAATATCGGAAGAACAATTTTTGCAAACATTGTTTTTATTATCTTTTAACAATTTCTGGACAAACTCTTCTTTTACGTGATTAATCTTATTGTCTGATTTATTTTCAGATATTGTTTGGTCGACTGGACTTTTGCACATGAACTCTGTCGGACTTACTCTTTGCAGAGGACTAGTACATTTTGGAATTATTGTAGAATTCCACATTCGACAAGGAGAGGTTTTCCTGACTTCCCAAGCCAAAGGAGTTCTTCTTAATGGTGGTGGTGAGTTTTCATAAGCCCATTTAACTCTAAACCATTCTATTAAATTATGAAAGTCTCGTGTATAGTTTTCTAACACCAAAATTACTTCTTTACATTCGGAAATATTTTCATCTTCTTCGCACGTTTGATAAATACCATCAACTGCTCTTTGTAAATTTCCAAACAGAAATGCCCAGTATCGTGCCTGCAATTCTAACAAAATATTATACATTTAAAAGTTGAATGAATTCAGTTAGAAGAAATACTAATATAATTTTAAAATTATATTTATTAGTTGGGTATATTTTAAAAGAGATCTGCTAATGTGTTTTATTTTAATTTTTTGAAAATAATTTTTTAAACATAATTACAAAATTAAACAAGAATAATGTAATATAATTTTTTTATTTTCTGGATATAGTAACATCTTTTTATAAACTGTTCAATGCTTTTCCATAATTTTTTTCATAATTCTTACCAGATTTTTTGTCACGACCTGTAGAAGCAGATCTTACTCTTGTAGTTGGTTTCATGGATCGTTTTGTTAAACCTGACTGAGTTTGCCTTGGTACACTGGGCGGTTTTCTCGTAATTTTTTCTGTATTATTTGTACCAACAGGTACATTAAAAGCAATCAAGTTTCTGGCTGATCGACCTTCTTCTTGAATCAGTAATCTGACGTCTGCCATTTTTTACAAATATCTAAAACAATAATTTTTAAAGTTGATAAATATATAACTATTTATTAGAAAGATAATTTGTTGAGATTTAATACTGATATAAGATACATGGATTAATCTAAATTATAGCTTGCGTAAATTATTAAAAAATGTACAATACAAAATAGAGCATTTATATAAATGAATATTTTCGTTTAAGGCACTAGAGTAAAATTATCACGTGTTTGCATTACAATGATATGACTTATTAGTCACTGTAATTGTTTCGAGGTTATATTTTTATTATAATATAGATATATGCATAATACTTAAAAAAGTAAATAAAAAGTAATGCCGAATATGACTGACATGTCGCAAAGATACATATTGTTCGGCAACATTTGTAATCGATACACTATCGCTATTTTCTGACAATGACACTACTCGCCACTGTCTTGTCAAACACCATACTTATGGTTATGTTTACACGCGCATTACACGACTCACCTTTTTATCCTGGCAATTATAAGAAATCACAGAACAATCGCCCGTTCCTCACACGATTAAATTTCGTAAGTGACATTTGAGAAACGGCGCATAACATTTTATGCGAAGTTATGTGTCAGACGAGTAAACACGAGTTTCATAACACTGTTGGTTATACTGAAAAGCTGCATTGAAAACCGCTGACAGTGTCGGAGAAGGATGAAGGAGTGGGTGTAGAGATACTGTGGTATAGTGTGCAATTGTAGAAATATAAGTAATTTTTCGACAATTAAAAATAGTGGAATATATAGTGAGGACATTATGTATACTTTAAATTTTAATGATTTCTATCCGATTAAAAGATTATACGATTAATAAAAATCTGTAAAATCTTTCTTCTGACTTTTATCACGTTTTATATGATATCCTGTGAAATATCCGTGTATTTTTTATTTAACATATTAAATAACCGAAATTAATAACAATGAACAGGATGAAAGTGCCATAATATAAGCATGAATCTGTTTTATAAGAATTTCTCCAATGAAACTTTAAAAAGCTTACATTGTCATCATAAACAAAATGAGGTTATATTTACATTCATACCATTTACATTGTATAGATCTCACTATTTTTCGAAAGTTTCTATTAATTTTCATTTATAGCAGAAATCATTAATTGTGACCACTAGCGGATCCTGGGGGGGGGGGGTACCCCGTTAAACCCCCCCCCTTCCCAAGTTAAAAAAAAATCAATTTTGCTGGATCCATTTCAAGAATCTTGGTAAAAAATGCATTAAAGCAGGTAAAAACCCCCCCTATTATCGACATCGGGATCCGTTAGTGATTGTGACTAATATTATATAAGTAATTATTATTGTGCATTTACAAGAATGTTTACAATTATTTATAATCATATTATTTATATTAGATACATGTCAGATTATTTCTTTGCAATCTTAAACACATAGTAATAGCAATACCGTCACTTCTAATGGTCAGAGTTGCATAAATTTGCACATTAAACATTTTCAATATTTTGTAAATATGTTCAACTATTTTTGTAATCAACCAACCATTTAATTAATATAATATACGTTTTAATATATTAAATCATATATATTTCTATTACTCTATTTTTAATAATGCTCACAAGAAATTATGTACATTATCTTATGCAAAAGTGAGCACTATAATGCACTCAAAGTGCGAAACAAAAATTATGCTGCTTCCTAATATTAATGAAAATGAATATCTTATAATTTCTATTTATAAGTCATTTAGTCATTTTTATGTTCTAAATTGGAAGATGTGTCCACAGAATAACATTCAATATAACAGATAACATTCACGTTATAGTAGATATTACAAAGAATCATTAAATCATCATAATAATAATTACACAAGCAGCATTATGGATATGCAGTAATACTCCAAATACACATATTAATTTCTCATTCGAATAAATTCATAATAATTTTGAAAATACACAGCCATTCCTCTAGAATCTTGATGACTAAATATGGAATGGAATATTGTGATCCTGATAATACTCCGTAGCTTGTTCTCTTCTGATTTGTGTTTTACATCTTATCACCCATTTTCACTTTAGATGTCTGAAAAAAATATGCAAAAACATTACACACATTAATTAGAGATACAATTTTGTCTACAAGAAAACATAGAAGTTGATAAGTTACAAAATGTAAGGATTAATAAGAACATATTAAAATTCTTGACTTATGTATGTTTCAATTTGTAGTCTTCAGATGTTTTTCAATTGTTCTTCGATTGTTCTTATTAGCATTTACATTCTGCATTTGTCTTGTCAATTCCTTTGTTTTTTTTAAATTTGCTCAATCAACCCAATTTTTTAAATTTTTATTTATCTATAATTTTCGGTATCTGTTGTATGCTAACCCACATATATCAACTTACCATATAAATTCCAACAATTAAACCAAAGAGACCTATAGCAGAACCGAAAATCTCAACTATAAGAATTTTCACGAAAAGAGCAGAGTTAGCCGCATCGGCAAGAGCTGCACCAGAACCTACAATGCCGACTGCTATGCCACAGAAAAGATTAACCATACCAACAGCAAGACCAGCTCCAAACATTAAGTATCCAGCCAACCAATTCTGATTTTTAAGGTCTTCATTCTCATTAACAATAGTATCATTGAATTTATCGAGCATTCCGGATAGAACAATGGCAGTGATTAAACCATAGATAGCTACAGCCTCGCAGAATATCACAGAAATCAAATTTTTTGTTTTTATTCTAGGTGCTTTTACACCTCCACCAACGATAGACACTCCAGTTGTATGGATACCCCTAAAAAAGGAATAATATAATAAATCCTGTTCTATTCTAAATTATTAATCAAAGGTTACAAATATTATAAAACTCACAATGCTGCACCGACTACTGACAATGCTACTGATAGGCCTATGCCCAATGTAGACCACATATAAGGAGAAGTATTTGATAAAAACCTAAATGAGAAAATATTTTGTTTAGAATTTTATTATACGGAGAATTCAATAAAACAAGTAACGTAAGATATGAAATATTTAAATATATAATTATACGTACCATGCAATGCTAATTTGTTCTCCTTTTCCAGTAAGTAGATAATATAAAACTGCAACATGAAAAATAAGCTAAATAGTGTAACAAAATGAATGACATTAAACTGACATTGTTTAACACTATAACTTTGTATAATTCTTATAAAGTATTTAACATACGGTTATGTACAATATTTCTTTTGTGTGTCATTTAAATAATTTACTACAGTATATAATAAAATCATACCAAAAATAAGAGTTGTGATCGAAGTAGTGATTGCAAATGTGGTGCCCAAAATGTATCTCATTGTTGCGGTAAATTTCACTGTTCACGCAACACGAATAAATAGAGGATCTCGGAGTCTTCGAAATATGATGGATACTCCGGAAAAGTTAAGCCCGGCGGTTTTCTTTAACAAATTTTTAATCTCTGCATCGAGAGAATGAGAAAGAATCACACACCCGTCGATATCATGTGACGACTGATGGCGATACTAGTGACCACTGGTGATGTTAGAAAAAATTATACTAAGAAGTGTATTGTTTACAACAAAGATGGCTTTGTGATCGCGCCCAATAAATGCGCGGAATTTAAACACCATGTTTGGAATTTTCTGCTGCTACAATCATCTGAAAATCTATTCACATTTTTACTTAACAAACATACCGTGAAATACATAACATATTCTGCTAAAGTAACGATCATAAATTTGTCTTGCCGTATAAATAAGAAGCTATTTTTGCTTTGTAAAATTATATGAAAAAAATCTTGCGATCATTGCATGCACTATTAATTGCATTTTTATTGCATTTATTGCATTTATCATATTATTATGAGAAGTATTAACAATATATTTTAACAAGTTTTTTATTTTATATCAAGCACATATATATATATGTATATTCTATCGGTGCGCGAAAAATACAAATTAAACATTTTACTTGACTTCCTGCAGGCAATTGTTGCACATTTCGAAAGAGGGGACAAATAGTCGCTGAACCTAATTTTAGATTCCGTCACATTCGCGTCTCCATTCTGCGACAAGAGAGCGAGTTCCGTAGATGTTATATTAAAATACACAATCGATCAATCCCGATAACAATTACAGAATGTCTTTGACGAAAAAGAGGTAAGCCAGCTTTTCAATACCGGATACTAATAAGAGCCATTGCTTCATTCATTCAGGTTCATCCTCTCACAAATATTTGTTCAACGCGAGACAATTTTCCCTAAATTCCAAAGAACAGAATGTCGCCGTGTGCGTCCGTTTCTCCGATTGGACCAGCCATCGCTCGCACTATTTCGGTCTACGATTAAATTTGCAGCGATAAATTTAGAATAATAGAGAATACGACAGATTCGTCTGTGGAAAATTAAGGTCACCACCGGTCGCATACGTAGTCTAAATGTGCGTGTTTTAGTGCACAAAACTTCGAGTGTTCCAAACCGACAATTTGTAGATTTTCAGACGCACAATCTGTATGTCACGTGATAATATGTCATATAACTATGTTGTATTAATACATATGATATCAAATAGATTTGTAACAAATGAAATTAAGATATTCAATACAAAAATTAAGAAATATTCTTTTCATTCTGTTTTCAGAGCTATGTTGAGCGCAGCTTTTGTTCCTCAATTAAAATAACAATTGAGGAATAACGATGGGAATTACATATTTTCAGTAAAAGTATTTTTACGCAAATAATGTATTATAATGTGATATCAGTTTTTGTACAAAGAATTTTCTGAATGATCCTTCTATTATATATTTCATTTTAATAATTCCATATACGTATATTCAATATAAATATAACCAGCACATCTGTGAAGATAATCACTTCTTCAAATCGAATATAGAAATAGGCACTATTATCTTTCTCGTTTCTCAATACACATTGTCTTCCAAAATTAAATAAAAATTCCATTTACATGTTTATCATATTGTAGAAACTCGCTGACAAATTTTGTCGTCTCGTTCATTCATTCAGCTGTTCACAACTCGAATCGCAAACTCGTCTAAGATTTCCCCACTGACCATATATTTTTTGTGTTGCAGAAACGTCTCGCTCGACGAATTTCGTCGTGCCGTACACGATGTCGTCTCGCAAGAGCCGTTTGCGACGCGATTCGCGAATCTCTGCACGTCGGGCGATAGACGAGGGATGGTCGAGATGCTTATGGAACTGCCCCGTGTAGCGGGCTTGAAACCGGGCGACTCGTACAAGGGTAAGGATGATGCGCAGGCCGCGCAGTTGTACGAGAAATCGCTTAAAACGACGGCGGAGCCCGGGGACAAACACACAGAGGGGATTAGAACGTGTAATATTCTCACGAAAACACTGTTTGCGGCCAGTGCGAATGATAGAGTGTTCCTAGATGCGCTCTGCGAGCGCGCTAAGTTCTCCTATAGTCTGCGAGCTTTCGCGAGCTGCCTGAGAGACTGCGAATGCATGCTGGCGCTTCCTGCGAGTTTCTACGACGACTCTGCGGAGAACGTTAAGTACTTCGTCCAGCGTAGAAAGGAGTGCCTTCAGCTAGAACGGGAGTGCTCCCGGAAATTAGAGGCCGTGTCTTCCAAGAAAGGCCGCGGCAGCCGCGGAAGGACGTCCTCCTCTTCTGCTGGCGCATCATCCGGAAAGCGCGCCGCTGCGACGCCCAGCGTCGACGGCAAGCCGCACAGCTGTCTCGCGAGCTGTCCGGATAGCGTTGAGCTACGATTCGACGAGGCCAGGGGCCGGCATCTCGTTGCTACAAGAGACATCAGACCGGGGGCTGTACTCATTGTCGACCGGCCGTTTTCCTTTAGCACGGACGGACCGGCACTCGGCAGGAATTGTTTGCATTGCCATGCCACACTTAAATTAGAAGACAGCGTTAGAATCCCATGCCGTAATTGCCAAACAGTTAGTAAAGTGCATGATTACACTTGCGCATGCACAGGCCATGTATATAGCCCTGTATATAATTTATCTCTGCCTGTTAGCTTTCGTATTAAATTTATTTTATCATTCTTTTTCTCACGCCCTCTTGAGAAAGGCCCTGAATTACCGCGTCGCAGACAATTCCTGTAATGTGAATTTGATTTTATATTCTCCAGGTATCCTTTTGTACGGAAGCGTGTCGCAAGGAAGCGTGGGAGACGTATCATCAGTACGAGTGTTCGGTGTTTGATTACTTTTTCGAAAGTTCCTCGAGCAACGAGTCCCAACAAACGTCTTATCTCCTGCTAGCCTATCGCACAACGATCGTGCGAGCGCTATCGCCGCGAAACAGCGCGGAAACAAATTGCGCTTTGAATCCTGATTTTCTCCGATATCACGCTGACGGTAACGCGAGGCGTAAAGACGACGATATTAGTAAGGAATGTACGGAATTAGGATTGAGGAAACCGTACAGTCCTCTCGATTACCGCACGGTATTTCAACTGGAGACCCATTGCGTCGATATGGAACCCAATGTAAATCTCATCCGCACGACCGAGGCAATATTCCTTGCGAAATGCTTGGTCTTTGTTCTGAGCAAATTAGACGTCATTTGTACGAAGGAAACGTTTGTGCCATTGGCCGTGGCGATGCTGCACCATTTGCAGGCGATTAATTGCAATGCTTACGAGATTATCGAGAATATTCACGATGAAACGACGCGCGTGTGGGAGCCCAGAAATATCGGTGGCGCGATTTATACCACAGTCAGTCTTGTGAATCACAGCTGTTATCCTAATGTGGTTCGGCATTCTTATCCAAACGGTGAGTCTGATTGCGAAACGAGTTAATCGTACAAATTGACGGAGATAATAATATCTATTTTTACAGGAGCAATCGTGGTTAGAGCACTGCACTTTATCGGCAAAGGATGCGAGATACTCGACTGTTACGGACCACAATTTCTCTGCGAGAACAGATTGACTAGGCGTGAGCTCTTGTGGAAAAAGTATCGATTTCTGTGCGAATGCGACGCTTGCACACAGAATTGGAAATTCCCGCTATCGGAAACGTTGAGTTACAAGTGTACAGTGTGTTGCAAACCAATAGATTTCTCGGTAATAAACGCGAACACTACGCAGAAGGTAATAAATCTGCAATGTATTAAATGCGAGAAAATGATCGATTTAAAGAAAATCGAGAAACAACTTGCGAGGTCGATTCAGAAGAGATTGAACGCCATCACTAAGATGTATCAGGGAAATTATAGAGACGCGTTGCCTTTGCTATTCGAGCACGCACAGTTTGTCAATAAATACTTGGTTGAACCCAACATCGAAGGTATCAAAACCGAGCAGTGTATTGTCCAGTGTTACAATTCTTTTGGTTCCACTTCTGTGTAATGATTTATAACAGCTATTTATAGTAGTGAAACAATTTAAATTTTTATTGTACACTTTTTGTGAAAAACACAATACAATACGCTAAAAATATATTTGTAATTTTCTATTTCAGAAGAAAAAGTAAACAGTGAGAACAAAAGAATACACATGGCTCTTTTCATTAATAATTACATTCTTATTGACAACTAGTGTAACACGAGACAATGCAAAATTATATAAATTATATAAGTAACGGAGAAGCATGAGGCTTTTCGTGATGCACAATACAAAAAAAGTTATTCACAAGTTATTGAATTTTCATACATGATAATTAGCGTGTATATCTACAGAATGGTCAGTAGAAAATCCAGCCCAAATTGCATCTCGTGAATTAAGTAAGAATCCAATCTCGGTTGCATAATTGCGCGCTTTATGTACGTTATGCTTTCCTTCATGCTTACACATTAATTAAATCTATCAGGACCATTGCTTTAATTGTGTTATATATATCTTACTTGTATGAGAAAGATAAGTTATGTACAGTGGTCCGTCATAAACATCGGTAAAGTACATCCTTTAATTTAGTTCATTAAAACACAGATGCAATACCTATATTCAACTAGAATCCGGTAGTGTAAAGGCTTAGGCATTCAATTACCACATATGCGTCTCTCTAATTTCGCTAATGATGTGACCGGCTTGAGTTAAAGCCTGCAAAATTAAAACATATCATTAGAAATCAATTCGTAAAAAGAAACTTTTACGAATTACGTTAGGAAACTTTATAACTTTTCATACCTTAAGCATGTCTGCTGTTTCTTTGCGCCTAACTGCAATGTGATCGCTTTCGATCAGCAAGGCCTCGACCTGATCCGATTTGTACAAATGCGTGACAAGTTCACTTTGTAAATTATCTTTTACGTAGTTGACTAGGAAATGCATAACAGCCTTTGGTACACTATCCTGAATGGACTTCCGTACAATATAAAAGTATGATCTTATGAGTCTTTCTGCAAACGACCAACACAAGTGTTCCAGGTAAAAATCAAAATCAGAATTTGTTAACGTTGTACGATGCTTAATACAGTATTATTCTTACCGATAATATCACAGTCCCGTTGTTCGCGCTCGCTAAGTTTTCGGGACGTCTGTATTGGCACCGCAGGGAGTAGATTTACTGGTTTTTGTTGTGGAGATCCTTTCACCTCGTTCGCTGGGTTGTTCATAAACGGGGAGTTGTTATTATTCTCACGCATTCTGACTGGAGAATTAGTCACAATGGAGTCCATAGAACTGGCTGACTCGCTTCTTCCTTGCAGTAGTAAGTTGCTCAGCAGCCAGTGATTTTGCTGTCCTTGCTGCTCTTTAGTCTGATCGGAAACAGAGTTTATCCCATCTTGATTATTGACTGATTTTACACTCTGTTACAAATATATTTTACTATTAGTTATCAACACATCATAAAAAAAAAAAAATACGAATACAAATATGGTGTGAGCAAATAACAGATAAATAAATAAACAATGTATTAATATTAAAGGAAAAGAGCCGTTGCTAGTTGTTCGTGCAATATATTGTATTATAAAATTATAATATTGCACGAACAATTAACAACGGTTCTTTTCGCCTTTTTCTCCTAAAATCAATTGTTAGTTTAGTGGAGGTTAATTTAGTACTATTATTAATATTTGTTAAATAATGTATGTAATGTTATTTATTTTTTAAAATTATTTCTTGAAAGTTATTATTCCCTGCGATTTTGGTAAGTAATTCAGACACAAACGGCAATAATTTTCACAAAAGTAACGTAAAATGTAAATTATTACTTACTGTATCATTGGGGATTATAGTACTGGATGTTGAAGCTAATCGCTTGTTGTGCTTCAGGTGATCAACGTCAGCATCCTTCAGTAAAGACGACACAAACGCTGCATCTTTGTGAAAATCAGGATGCTTAGTGTTAATGTATGCCAATTCTATCGCAACCAAGTTCTCAACCTTGTTTTCAGGAAATCAAATTAGTATGAGTGTCAAAAAAACATGTTACGAGTGCAATGGATGTTTTAGTTTTACCATTGAATTGGTGTGTGGGAGCCGTCTGCGCAGCAATTGTGTAACAACATCGACAATACGTTCGTGCAGTTTAGGAAAACGTAGCATTTCCTGCTGCACCTCAGTGCCACAATGCTGTATTATACTTTGCATTTCTTCGTGCACAAGCTCTACACACCGTAATGAAGGGTCCTCTAATTTCCGTATTTGCCGTTTAACTAGTAACTCAAAGGAGACCTCCGGCACGAAAAGAGCCGGCCTCGGACCAGTTGCATTGCGGATAGCGGTCAGTATGTCCACTTTACTAAGATCTGCCAGCGGATTAATCGAATCGAGTGTTTTACCAAACGTCTCGTGAAATATGTAACAAATACGAGCACCGCCGCACAGCTCTGTGGTTTCTATATTTCTGGACGTGCCCTCTATCGTAGCGCAATAGCTGTTTGCGAATTTCGTGATGATCTGCAGCAAGGTTTGGCTCTTGTCTTCGACGTCTCCGCCGTAAGAATTGAGTAGAGTTTGATATTGCGCGACCATTGTATTCACTCTGTTCTGTTTTCAAAAAACACACGTTCTACCAAATTATGCTTAATTTAGTATATTCTAGCTAAAATCTGTAGTGTAACTAGTGTCAATATCATTACCTTTAATTCCGGTAAACAATCTCTGATATGTTGCATAAGTAAGCGATTGAGAGTTTTCGCTAAGTAAGGAGTTCCGTTTCTATTAGCCAGTGTTGGATATTTGCGTTGTAAAAATGTAGCCTCGTCCTTCAGTGCTTCCTGAATACTTTTGTTATTCATTATATCTTGCTGAGAACGATTAACAACGCCTATAATACCCAGTTTGACTGGGATAACTCTGCCACATAAAATATCTATGGCGTCGGTACCTAAAAAAACGAAAAATATATTTAACAGTGTTAAACGTAAAAAGTATTGTGCAAAAAAATTTCAGAGAATTAAATTTACCAGCATCCATGAGATCCATCTTTGTAACGACAGCCAGCGTCCGCCTACCATCTGGATCAACATCCTTACTTAGCTTTAAACTTTCACTTGTAGCCATATCAGTATTGGCAGTCACGACTGCTAAAATGATTGAATTAGGACTACATATATATTTCAATACGAGCTCGCGTATTTGACTTTCAATGTCCTCTGGCTGGTCACCCACTGGTACTTTTGTAATACCAGGTAGATCTATGAGTGTGAGATTAACGACAGACGATGAATATATTTTGAGATTAATTGGTTCTGGACAGATTCCTTTGTTTGCTCCAGCCATTCTGTCAGTTTCAGCTTCAATCTCTGTACGAATATCGTCAAAATTCTTGTAGATTTTATTTTTTGTGTGTAGAAACATTCCCCATTCTTCCAGGTCCAAAGTGCCATTCTCTGCGCTTCTATGCTCACGATCATCCTTTGGTGTATACACAAGTTGTAATATTAATGGACGTCGTGTAACAATACCAGTCCCTCGTGGTAGAAAAGAGCGACCAACTAAACTTTCTATTACAGATGATTTTCCAGAGCTCTGAAAAAAAATGTAATGTATTTCGTATAATACTATGTTATACAATATTTATAAATCATCTTTCTTCGACTTTGGATCTTAAATGCTACAGAAAGATACAAGATACGCAGCTAAGAATAAAGATTTAAGCTCAAGATGTTCTAGCTTTGTTTTGGATTAATTACAGGTATGCAAAATCAATATCTAAGAAAATTATAATATATCCATAATCTTAATTCATAAATAACTACAATACTCTCTTTTTCAATTGTAAGACTTGGGAGTGCAAAAGATTGAAACTCACAAGCAGCATATAACTTTCGATATCACATATCGTCATTGCATTGTTTCTAATAATGCAATCTAACAAAGAAACAAAAAACAAAAATTTAAATGCACGTTAAGCACATGATTTATGTTAGAACTACATTTTTCAAATGCACTCCCTGCGTTTTCTTGCAATTTCTTCTTCTTTTTCTGCCTCATTAAAAATTTTAAATAAATATTTATCAAATTTCAGAATAAGTGATGCAATATAATTCAAATGAAAAGAACGGACTTGCCGTTGTTACACTTGATGATCTTGTAAAATTAATATTCGACTAACCTGCGTGCCCAGGACGACGATTTGTGGCAGCTGTAACACAGTAGCGCCTACGGTGTTAAATACGTCTTGTAGCTTGTTTATCACAGGTATCAGAGCTTCCATTCTGGAGTAGACAAGCAATGAGCGTTTATAAGAGAACGAATCGATCGAAACGACGGTTGGTCGGTCGGTCAGTTACAAAGCCGGTCCAATAATTCGTTCCGCGATCGTTTGGCTGCGACTCCGCTGCCTGCATACGTTAGATCACAGATGCAGCTCTGCGACAACCGCCGAGGATCGTTCACAGAGTAACGTCTGATGCCGGGACGACAATGCTGAAGAACTGTAATTTCACTCAGAACGAACCAGGAGAACAACGCACACCTGATTCCTCACTCTTACCGCGCTCTACAATCTGCAAAACACGCGTGCGCATGTTTCATTGTGTAATAAATAAGCGTATGTATATGTATATGAACATATAATGCGTCTGCATGTGTATACGTACTGACGCGATAAGTCATCTACGGCCACGTAAAACCATTATTTCCATTCTATTAAAATAATAATAATTTTATTATTTTAATTATTATCATTTTTTAATTATGATTAAAATAATTATTATTTTATTATTAAAATTTATGATTAAAATAATAATTATGATTTTATTTGCTCGTTTATATTTAAATATTATTTTATATTACATTCATTAGTGCATATTCTTCCGTTTAGCACCTTTTTCAGCGTTGAAAATAATTCCAAATTTCTGTCTACATGTATTTATGAAATCTATGAATAACATTTGCAGATAGAAACGATATAAACACAATCATATTGATTTGAATCATCGCTAAATATGTCGCAAAAGCACATATTGAGATATCTTGAAATTTGATTTGCTTATTAGCAAAATAGCGACTCATTTGACTCTGCAATTTTATTACAAATCATAATTATTGCTTGCTTGCCAAATTTATTCCTTTATCAATCATTACAATATAATAAAAATTTATATATTAATGCAATTAATTAATTTTATATTGTGTGTTATAAATGAATGTATTTAAAAGATATCTTTCAATTTACGTAATCGTTAGATTATCTTCAGAAATCTCTGCAGTCCAAGTTTACGTAACTTTGCGTGATTGTACATAACTGCAATTTCTAAGTATATCGATTAAGTAACTGAAGAAAAATCTAAAAAATGGATTTGACAATGGAAATATGGAAAACTTAATATTTTTATGAATAAAATATGCGCTAATGTATATATTATATCCGCATTATTTTTGACTTATTGTATATTTAAATTTGAAACATTTAAAAAAGAAATAAATAATATGTAAAATATAAAATTAAAGTGAATAGATTTATGTATTTGAATCAAGCGGGTTGCGATATTGATATTTAGTTCAACCTAACCAAATGCATGTTTTCAGATGGCGCTACAATTATTGGTTATTCCGAATTAATGAAACTGATGTGCGCACTCTAGTGTACATTACTAGCGTCTAGCAACTAATGTGATGTACCCGGCTCGAAACACAACATTGAATCTCTAAAAACACATAAATAAGGATTACAAAGATATATAAATATTTAAAAGAAAAAGGTATTGAACAGCCATACAGAAGAAAAACAGAAATTCTAAAGAAGTATTAAGATTTTATTAGCATTTTCAATTATCACAATTCGAATCAGTACGAATGTAATAAAAACCAATTTTTATAACTTATTGTTAATATAAATCTATTGTAAGTATATGATATGTAAGTAAATAACAATTATTAATCCGTAAGAATTGTAAAGTATAGTAGAAATAATGCTAACATAGTTCATTCTTATTAGAGAAGTCTATTTCCTAGCTACAAGAGTTGTTGGAATAATCTTAATTATATGTTTAGCTCCCCAGCATATTGGTGAACAATTACAACCACAATGAACTTGCCACGAGTATACTTCGACGTATCTACAGATGATAAGACATTAGGAAGACTTATAATACAACTACGTCCTGATGTTGTGCCAAAGACATCAGAAAATTTTCGTGCGCTGTGTACAGGAGAAAGAGGCTTTGGTTATAAAGGGAGTTATTTTCACCGTGTAATTCCCAATTTTATGTGTCAAGGAGGTGATATCACACATCACAATGGTACAGGTGGAAAGTCTATCTATGGAGATAAATTTGAAGATGAGAACTTTGAACTCAAGCATACTGGTGGTGGTATACTGTCAATGGCTAACTCTGGCCCAAACTCAAATAGCTCACAATTTTTTATTACTACTATAAAAACACCTTGGCTGGACAATAAACATGTTGTGTTTGGCAATGTTATCGAAGGAATGGATATTGTAAGGAAAATTGAAAATTGTGGTTCATCTACTGGTAAGACATATCAGAAAGTCATGATAGCGGATTGTGGTCAGTTATCTTGAAGATAAGCTAAATTCATGAATCATGGATTAAAATAAATCGAAGTATAATAAGTTACATAAGTTTCTATATTTTAATTGCTTTAAGGAAAATGTACTGGAAATTTTTTTATAAAGATATATAAGGACACATATATTTAGTTATGTTAATGTGTATATTATAAAAGGTAATTGCAATTATATTACACAATATAACTATGAGTAAGTGTAAATACTAAGCTTATTTGTTATCTCTAAGCTCTCTTTAATATAATAATTAAGTCTTAAATAATATATTTTTAAATATATCAAATATATAATTATATATATATATATATATATATGCATCAGATACTTTTGGTTTACCACAAACCAAAAATCGTATAAAAACATTTCAAATGCAAAATTGCTCACTGTAACATATAAATTTACACAGGTATCAACAACAGATATAAATATCTTAACAAAATCGATAGTGTTACTAGTCGATGCATACTGGTAAATTAACAACAAAGAATGTATTGAGCTCTACAACAGATGCAAATATCAAAAATACGATGTACATGGCAAGACAGACAATTCCAACTGTTCGACTTAATTTGAATTTATTAATAAGTAAAGCTCCGTACAAGATGATTAATGTGGAGAAGAGAGATATCGAGCTGTACACTAATCCCTGAGAATTGATCTGAACATAATGTTCTCCAGGTATTTTCGGTAATAATGTGGCTTTTATGAACCATGGCAATCCGAGACACAGCAATACATCAAATACATTAGATCCTATTGAATTACTTATCCCCATAGCGCCGTGACCTGGACAAATATTTTAATTTTTATATCGCACATTCAGCTTTTAAATCGTAGAACGAGACGAAAATTAGATTTTGTCTGATTTATTTCTGAGCCATAATCTCACATGACAAATATGTAACAAGGTTGCAACAGGATATTTACCTTGATTTGCAACGATAACGCTCGACACTGCTTCAGGTACACTCATTCCAGCCGCGAGAAACGTCAAGCCCATAATAGAATCAGGAATATTGAAAGTGTCGCCTAAAAAAATAAAGGTAACGCTATAGAAAATCATTTCACAATATAAAATTCCAATAAACATACAAGAGACATTTTAAAATGTTAGAACATCTTTTTTCTAACGCCTGTATACTATTTAAGTTGTAAAACTTTATGAAGTTATTGCGTAGTTTTTATCATTGCAAAAAAAACCAATATTCGTCAACATAAATATTCAATCGGATGTCGAATATCATACCGATAATCGTGATGACCCATCCGATAATATAAGAAGAAGTCGCGATCCATATTACACACATGAGGAACGTAAGGGGATACCAAGATCGTAATTTTTTCCTTCTACAATCGGGAATAGTAATGAGCAATACCAAGCTAATGGGCCAAGTGAAGACCCACCACATCTTTTCGCACATCGAGTTCGGCCAGGACGTCATATTCACGATTTCGACTGAAAAGGTATGTAAAGTATATTTTATATGAGTTTTTCTTTATTTATAAACCGTAAATCTCTATATTGCATTAAGCGTGCACTGCAACAAGGTCTTATAAAGACGCTGCAAGTGAAATAATCATACTCATAATATTGCTCCATGTTATATTTTTTTACATACGTGATTCGTCCTGCTCACTCGAATATGTGCTAATCCCACATATCTCCGTATCTTTGCTGAAGTCTGTCAGATTTCAGAATGAAAGATAGCCAAGCATGAGATTACATTTCTTACGAGTAGTTATCGAAAGTTATCCCTGCAAAGAGATACGTGGATTAAAAAGAATTGACTGGAATTTTACTCTGTGAGATTCAAGTTCTAATCTACGAAGTCAGATATTGACTTCAAAAATAATCGAGATTTCTTCATCATTCTGTTTTTCACGTTTCTATTTCTAAAATAGCACTAACTAATCTAATATCTAATCACATAAATATTATTTCGCTCCTAATTTTTTTATTTAAATTTTTGTGTGGAATTAATTGTAACATTGTAACTAAATATTATTGGAAAAATAGAAAGAAGTTTAGAGTAGAAGTAAAAAAATATTTAAAAATATTGGAGAAAAAGTCCCTGATTTTCAAAGATTAAAAATTCATAATTTCACAGAATAAAATTATATCAATCACTTTTAATTCACTTATTTTTGCAGAGGTGATAATGATAAATTATATCATAGAGGGCTTACTATTCGGAAGGAGGGGGCTGTCTTCACGCAAATTTTGGTATTTTTGTCTTTTAGTCGTTATTCGTTTTAAGAAATTGTTGATACGGCGATTGAAGCACATTGCTGAAAACATAAATAACTTTTAATTGTCAAGTTCTAGCATTAGTTTAGTTGCTCGCTATAAAATGAAAAAAAAATTATAATCAATGCTAAATATTCTTGAACTACATATTCCCAAATTTAGTACAACGTTGCTTGTGTGAGAAAATAACTTTTCACTGCATACTCGAGTCTTTCCTAAAATAATCATTTCGATTCGTTGGTATCACCTGATATGTACAAAATGTAACAAGTGACGAGGATGAGCGCCTCGTACCACTCGATACGTCCGTCCCGCAGAGTCAGGATCAGAAGAAGAACCGTGAAGGCATACGCTAGCGCATCTCGCGACACCGGCCACCATTCTAAATTTAATACCTGCAAATACCATTATTGCGATAAGGAAATTGCGAAATAAAATCGAAAACTGCAATACTTTGCGCACTGCACCTCGTTCGCGAAGAGCGCACAGCACGCCGGCACAGCCAATATGTTGAATACCGCAGAACCGACGATGGTACCGACTCCCAAATCACCTTCCGTTACGAAGGTACCAATGGCGTTGATGAACAATTCCGGACTGGAACTCGCGGCTGCCATCACGGTCGCGCCGGCCACATCCTCGGTGACGTTAAGTTCTGCCGACATATTTTCGTTCTTTTTTACTCAGTCGTGATAAAATAGAGTAGGCGAAACAAATAAAAAAAATATATCGAAACGATATAATACGCCAAACTGCACGATTGTACTCGCTGATCGCAGCGAAACGAAGAGTGGCACCGCGGCATATTACGTGAGAGAATTCTGAACGCGCGATCCTTTCATCGGCGATACTCACTGTCGCAAATTTTCTTAATAGAGGGTACGAAAAAGTCGTCGCAGACAATGGCAAGTAATAAAAACAGATAAATGGCAATGACGAAGTGGATTATTATAAATCCTGCCTGTCTTTGCTGCCGCGTAAGTCCGTCGGGCGGGAATTCGTTGATCGCTGGCGGCGTGCAGTTGTAACTCTCGTTCCCTTGCGCTTCGAGCTCGCTCGCCTGCAGCAATTTGCGTCCCTCTAAAATATGAATAAAAAAATATTGCAAAATAAAGAAATTAAAAAAAAAAAAAAATGGTTAAAAATAAAAATTTTATTCCGACAATCGGCGATTTCTGTATAACTCCTTCACCAGCGCTTCTGCGGAAGAATGCCGAAAGAAAAGCCGAGAATGTTTCGTGCGAGCAAGACAATCTTGTGTACTTACGCCAGTTCGCCGTGCGGCCGATATTCGTTGAACTGTCAGAAAACAGTCCCGTCAAACTGACGCAAAAAATATACATAGCTGGTATAGTAATAACGAGGAATATCCGGTATCCAACCATGCGCCTGTGCCGCCATGCCATCATTCGTTGTGTAAAAAACGTGAGCGCGAAGGGTGATTTTGGGTATAATAAAACTTTGCGCGTGCAGTTTGTAACGGCTGTTGTGCGATTCCTCCTTCGGTTGTCCTCCTCGCGCGATACGAACACGGCTTAGCTACCTGCTGCTTATCCGACAGTTAGAGTTCGACTACATGCTTATATGCTTATATGTTTTTTCATCTGTGAACGATTTATCGCGCTAAGCGGCCGCCGATAAGATACTGCATAAAGCAATCGTATATCGTCCTTTCGATTAAGCAACGCGAGGAAAGTTTCCGACAGCCGGGATGGGCGCGAGTTTCCATCTATCGGCGCCGTGATTCTTCACCGATTTAGATTTACACAATGGACACATATTTTCGCTGTATACTCGACGAGTTTACACAGCGTATCGCGCCAAAACAACATGTTTCACATCGCTCGACGGGAAAACATACGCTGTCCCGATCTGTTTTCCACCACTCAATTCCATCACGTGACTATGTAATCAAAATCATCACAATCGCGCACGTGCAGATTAAAATTTATTTTTTTCGCATATATATCGTAAACAGATCACATTGTGCGCGCGTGTTGATATCTTCAAGATCGGATAGAATCGCACCTCAACTCGTTCTCTTGACCTGTATTTCCCTTTCAATACGCGAATGATATCATCAATAATGCCATCACTTTCTCCTACGTCTAATTTGTTTTGAGAATCAATCTTTTACCGCGCTACTTATACGATATTGAACCACTCGTGCATATGAATCGAATGAACCGGAAAATACTTTTATGTTCTAATTTTACGTTGAAAATTGTATACTTTCAGGTGAACTCCAACAAATCACGAAAAGTTTACTAAATTTCTCATTACAGTGATTAAGAACATGTGGATGTTATGATATTACGCGTATATGCAGTGAGATAAATTGATATCAATGTAATACGTAGAACAAATGTTTACGTTATTATCGAGAATCGGCATCACGTGTGCTTCGATATTAGATGTTAGATTACATCAAAGTCGTCTTGTTTTAGGTAAACTCATTTAAAAATGTCGAGTTTTAAAGATAACAATTCAACCTTTAAAGATAATACACATAGTTGTAAGCAGACATGAGTACGTGAAATAACTGCTGTGTAAAGTCGTCTCAGAAAATAAATTTCAAGAGAAGACTTTCTTAAGTTATTCAAGATCATGCAGACCAGAATCACACGGCTCTGTACACGCACGTATTTCCGCGAGCCTTTTGTAATACCGCTACAATAATTAACAAAGCTTGCAGCTTTGAACTGTTATTTAATGGGCTGCGATATTTTTTTATCTTTTTCCTTGTTATCAACTCCGTATTCCTTTACACCGCTTTTTGAAATTGCGAAATTTATTCCACACGGAGAAAATTTTATATCAAAAATTACTACGTACGGTAATAGCCGCGGACCATGAAGGAATTATAAAAATTTTTACTATGTTTTTCACATGTGAAACGTGGTAAAAATTTTCGGTTCGCGGCTTTATGGTCCACGGTTAATGCCGTACATAGCAATTTTCGATATAAAATTTTCTCCGTGCAGAATTTATTGCTTCAGTTGCAATTTAGATTTTACGATGTTACGGGGATGTAAAGGTTTATCATTTGATAATTACGGTAAAAAATGTACTTGATAATTGATAAAGTTCAGATATTTGTCTTGTTGAAAAACGAAATAACGATAATGCGCAAAGTTTATTAATTCAATTAGACCTTATAATTTATTACATGCAAAAGCTTCCATTCAAATGACAGTAAAAACGTGCAAATCGGCATGGTAGCGATAATTGCGAAAGTTTAATTATAAAATGTAGAGATAATTTGAAGAGCCGAATAATCAGATAAAAAAGTAACGCATTAAATGAGTGTCGCGTCCTTTAATTGGTCCGTGTATTATTTCGATGCACTGATGCACTGATGCGAATACAGAGACACGTGTTAAATCTACACAGACAGAGCGATTCGGTGCGCTTGTACTAGGCGAATTGATGCATGTATGTATAATACAAATCTAACGCGAGACTTTAGTCTAGCCAGCTCTAAGCCGACTACTTAATCGAAGAGACAAGCCACTTTATATGGATTTATTACTAATTACAATTAGACATTTATTACATACATTGGAATATTAATAATAAAAAGACGCGACCGTTGAGTAACTCTCTCCACTGTAACGTAATAATATCTTTTATGAATTTTTAACAATTTAAAAAATTTAATAAATCCTTGTCTAGCTGATACCAAATAGACAGAAACTTGTAATTAAGGAAATTCGTAAAATATTGATGAATTACGATAATAATTCTCAATCACTCTAAGATTACGTTTTTGCAATGCTAAAATATGTAGAATGATTGGAAACGCCGAAAAGGAAAAGTCGCTAACTTCGTTTTCAGACTTTACTCTCCGGCTTGCTGCTGGCCACGCGATTTAATTGTCTCGCGAATATGCAAATAAGCGACACTTGCAAAATTTATTTATTTACTCGAAAAATTCTATCAAAACGCATGCATATATATGTGTGGTAATTTCTCGCAGTGTTTGCGGGCGAGTTACGGAATGTATATTTGCGGTGGTAAATTTCGGAGCATCGTCGGGTCTCGCGGAACTGCAAGCTTCACCTACATGCGATTCAGCAACAGGCGCTACGTGCGAGAGAAGAGATAGAGGGAGGGGCGATTCCAACAAACGATGTCGGACTTCGGAGTAGATGTTAATGTAGTATGTGTGTGACAACGGGATTGACAACATGGATACGACTGACCTAGGAGGAGGTGTGTTTGAATCTTATTTTCAATAATATCACCGGGACTGCGTCGTGTTAAAACAGTTTCGCACGAAGCGAGGATGGTGTGAACCGTGCGCGGGGAAATATGTCGATCGGGAGAAACGGAGGACGACGGCGAGACTCGGAAAACGAATATAAGAGAGCAGGAAAAAAAGGGAGGACGGCGCAGAGAGAAAAAAAAAATGTGCATTTGATGTGCTTTTCCGATCGGCTTGCATTTTTGGCACTTTGCGCTTCGCCGCGAACGCGAGAGTTGGCATTGTGAAGACGGAGGGAATGTGCGAATCCGGTAGGATGTTTCGTTACGCGATTAGCATGGTGTCGATTTCGCCTCTTCTCGCGACAAAACAGCGAGCGCGGAAAATCCACGGTCGATGGTGAAGAAAGTGCTCCTCAAAAATATGTATACATACAGTCCACCTCATACGAATATTGCGAGCAATATTCGTGACTATGAAGCTAATGGCAAATACTTAGGCGGATATGTATATATACTTTTTCCCCTGTTTTATCCCCACCTTTTCATCGTCTTTTCAAAGATTCATCCTTTTCGCCATGTGTCAAATGCAGCATTCTATTTGCTTTTTTCATATGCGCTTAATTTTGCTTGCGGTAAATTAATCAGAATTATTCATCCACCAGAAATAATTTGACGGATGTCAAATCCATAGGTTCGATTTAACATATTCATTTATACATGTAAAGTGAATGCTTTTTTCATAGAACATAAACGGTGGATTGGCGATTCGATTCTAAGTGCTTTACACGAAAAGATTTAACAGACTCACATATACTTCAGAATAGAGACACATTTTTAATAAACGAAATGTTTCTCATATATAATATGTATTTAAAAAAATTACGTATTCAATTCGAACATCATAGATAATGTTGCATGTTTTGAATTATGATTCTTAGGGCACATCTACATGCTATAAAAAAGGATAAAATATTATAATAAACATGTTAATTGAAAAGTGCTTGAGCTTTCGTTCAAAACTTTTAAAAAGCCAAATTCATATGCGACATTGTAGTAAGAAATTTTTTGCACGCGTAAGCTGTTACAATGAGCATTGATATAAGCAAACAATGCATTTTGCTTTCTTCAATACAAATCATTGAGAAATTGATATTATCGGTAAAATTTACTTCGAATTCAGTTCATATACTGTGCATTAAACATATTAATGCAATCGAATTATCCTTCTCGCTAACGACATATCGATAATCGCATACAGGTTGAAGTGCAGAAATAAGCTTTTGACATGTTAATCTGAACACAGTATAATCGAATATGCGCGTTGCACGTTACACGGATTATCGAAAGCGTCATTATAGATTGTAGATCGAAATCTGCATTATAGATAATAGCTAGATAATAGCCATTTTCATGATCAATGATGTCAAAACTAATCATACAACGCAAAAAAACACAAAAACTCGTCTAGCAAGCACTCTTTAGACATTTTTAATTATTCACAAAGATCGCTGTCGATGGCATATTAATAACTACACATTAGCGATGAAGGCGTAGAAATGTATCTCTGCACTGCGCTCTCGTTAGACGAAGCATCCGCTTTCATTGTCGGCAGTTACGTTGACCTTTAATAAGAACGACACGGAGAATGGCGAAACATTTAGCGCATTAATTAAAGTTAACCTGGCGGCAGTCTCGAACGGAGAATAACAAGGACATAGGCGATTTAAAGTAACTAATTAAGCACCATCAATTACATACCATTAACGTTCGTCATCTCTATCATCCTTATCCCACCGTTCTTTGTCGCTCACTTGTCTAGCGTGACCTGTCAATCATCCAGAGAGTCAGATTCACATATAAACTAAACAGACTGTAGCTTAGAGCCACACAAACAGCTTCGTAATTTATTTCAGAAGGAAAACTTTTTTAAAGTTTATTACTATTTCTTCAAAATAAAGAAAGAATTTCTTTCAGCCACAAAAGGTACAGAGTTACAACTTATAAGCTTAATTCCGCCTCTGATTTACTTCTATTGTTGGCTACTAAATCAGCAATGTTAAAAAATAATAATTTAAAAGTCATCGAGACACTCAAATAATCGATTGGAAATGAGATTTATAGTTTTTTTTTTTTTAGAAAAACAAATCAGAAGTTAATTTTTGATCTCATCAAAATTATTTAGGAGAATTAATGCAGCTACAAGAATGATCACGAAATACGGAATAAAGAAAGAAAATTATATAGTATTTCGATAAAATTTTGATAGAACTGAAAAAATCAAGCTAAAATATTGAAGCCACGACGATTATATTTAAGCCAGAAACATAAATAATCTTGAAAGAGAAAAACAGCACGAATGAACATCGCTACGATAACATTACACAATTTTATTACAATATCGACACGAAATCGTTCCATTATTTACATTCTAAAGCGCACTGTACATATAAAATGCGCAACGATAAGCAATGGCATGCATTTAGTTATACGTCCTGCGTCACAATGTACATAATACTCTTGGCGCTCGTAGCTTCGCGATCTGATAAGAGTACAAAATTACATATTCAATTTTCTGCGATATTGTGGAAAAATAGTCGGATGTATCGCGGCTACGCTGGAGGGGGAAAATGTCAATTATCGCGAAAACATCGCGCTGAGCGATCGGCAAGCCGGTGGCCAGCCGATTGTCCATCGGCCACCGCGTCTGCCGGCAACCGGCGACGGCGGCATCGCATCGCGCCGCGCCCTTCCGACCGTACGGACCGTCGGAGTGCCCGAGTCGTTGAGTCGTCGTGATATATCTAGTTTATACGACGTACATTAGACATGAATGGCATCTGTTCTGCCAAGTTGAATGAGAGCAATTTAACTTCTTTAGGTTGCTTAATCGGTAGGAAGTCACATCCAGTCACATAGCGGTATAACCGGCAAGAGGCACCAATACGCGCACGTTCGCATGCTCATATGTCTCTCCCCCGAAGGAGGAAGAGAAAAGCAGGGGGAAGACGGGGATGAGAAATTAAAATATAAAAGTATAGAGAGAATAGATAAATATTCCCATTATCTTTATTGTCGTATAATGTAAGAAACGCCGCTCGTCGCTCCAGATATGCTGACGGCGCAATCGGATAATCCCGTGTAAGAACTTATCGCTATTATGCTGGCGATATTTAATCCTTTAAAAGAATAATTTAGCTCGGACATTATAGCGATCCGATAAAGTAGGAATTGGAGCGCAATATTCATCGCACGGAAAAGGTGATTAAATAACTTTTGTACAAGAACATACGTATCTTCTTTGTAACTGCTATAAGACATTGTTTCATAGCAACAATATATCCTAAGCGGTAATTTTATTATTCGGCGTGAAAACTTTCAAAACGGCTCACTGTTGTTCCATTGAACAACTGACGGAAAGTTTGAAAAATTACAGCTATTACGTGAACAAAGCTGGCATAACAGCTAGAACAAGGTTTCAATTGAAAGAAATATTACTTAGGTCAATTAAAGCTAAATGTTAATGTGCGCAACATCATCTACGGGATTAAAAAGCTTAAGGAGAGTTTAAATTTTATACGCAACTTGAGTTTAATTCAATCTTTAAATCTTCCGTTTAATTATATGTGATTTCAGCGAGTTATCTACGCTAATAAAATCCAATACAAAATTAATACGCAGTGAAAAACAGTTTTAAATGAGATGTTTTTGATGTCATATATGTTAATACCTGCGTGCAAAAAGAGAGTTATTCTAACAATTTATGCGTTTAATGTTTTAAAATATGTACATTTTTTCTCACGCGATAATATCTCAAATTTGGCAGCTAACGATGTTAAGACTGGCACAGGATGCGGAAAACCGCGTATCTGGCGACTCGACGGTTCGATAAACGCTCCGCGACAAATCGCCTTTGAAAATTCACCTGCTAGAATTGATGTAACGAGCACTGCCGCTCGCACAAGCGACGCGTGTATACGATCAATCGTGCATTTCGCACGTATACGCCCATTGGACCATTTTTGTACTCCGACTGCAATTCTGGTTGTTTGCCAAATAATTCGGCACACGACACACACCGGTTCCATAAAATTGAAGTAATGGCGAACGGTAACGAGACGTTTCCTACTTGGCGTATCGTTATCTTACCACCACACGATCCGATTTGGACATCACACCACTGCATCGCGCGTTGTTCGTGTGCCCGGTGTATGCGTGACATTTCGTGTCGTTCAGCGTTTCTAGCGGGGAAGCGTTCCTATTCGGCGTGTCAACGTACGTGCTAATATACCGATTTCGTAACCTCGTCGATTTACCTCCTCGTCGACTTCGCTCCCTCCTGACGTCGGAACGAACTGCCGACTCTAAAAAGATAATGGTTAACTTTAAGTTCTTCCCACCGCTCTTATCGTATTAAGCCATGAGCCGTCGCGAGTCGAGGAAAAGCCTCTGCTTTACATTAAAGTAGCAAACACGTAATTGACTCTTATGCCGTAATACGACGCAAATGCGACGGAAGAGCGGACGGAATTATCGGACGCGTCGGCCTTACATCTTCATCGTCGCACGCTTGAGAGAACCGCCACTCGTTACGATCTATAAACGGAAGTAGAGTTTTTTTTTTTGCGTACAATTTAGTTAACACGTATTAGTTTGGTAACGTGCTTCGCGTTGCGTAACGATAAAAAAACACATTTCGTCGAATGCGAGTATGTCTGGGTGCGGTACATCCGGAATCGGTATTATGCGGTCGCCACGAATGGCACAGGTGTGGCGAAAATCAAAGTACATGAAGATTCCTCACAAAAAAACAATTCCCTGTACAAAAAATACGTTAAAGTTGTGGGATAAAATTTTTCTCTGCGTGAAGCGTAATTTTCGAGAAAATTGAGCTGAAAGATGCGTAGATTTTACTCGAATCTTTTTTGCTTTCGTCACAATGCTGTAATTTATTATTAACGTTGAATATTTCAGTTTGTTCAACAACAGCATCGATTTGAATAGTTAATTGAAAATTTTAACTTGTTATCTTTAATAGAAAAAAAAAAGTACGAAAAATAGAATGCATCCTACGCGCCGATTGTGCTCGATTATCGTACTTATAACGCCTGCGATATCGATGAAGTAAATCAAGCCACATCCGTCATAAGGTCAATGCCCTCTGCAGAATGCGATAATTGCATTGAAATTTGCGATAAAAAGATTCTTTTTATTGCTTACGATTATGTATGACTTTAGCAAAATTATGCCGCATATTAATTTAGGTTTTTAAAGTAATTTTAAACAAGATGACGACATTGAATTATGCAAATGTTGCGGCGAAATTGCTATGATTATATCATATGATGCATTTCTGACACTAATTTATATTTTTAGGTATAAATTGTACGCCACCGGCTATAGAAGACTTTCCACACGACCTGTTTGATGAGGAGCAAAGACAAGGCGGTGCCGTTGTCGTACACGTCATCGTGTCGCTTTACTTATTTATCGCTTTAGCAGTAGTATGCGATAAATTCTTCGTACCTGCTGTAGAAAAAATATGTCACGGTAAGGATCGTATTGTATATTTTTGTATTTCCACTAACTTTGTACCGCTTACTGCTTGTAGGCGTGCGCGGTTGCATGCGGTGAGATTGAAAAGTTTAGAAAGTTCTAGACTCCGTTCAATTCCGCTTTCGTAAGCTTTTGGCAAAATTGCAAAAGGAACCGCGTAAAAAGTGCAATAAAATATGAAATTTTGAAGAAGTAAATCATATTTCGAAATGCAGAATTTACTCGAGGCATCTCGAAAGTTGAATATCTTTTTAATCGTGAATTCTTTGGTCGTTTCTGAAGTAAAGTTTCCCGGATAAGAACGTTGAGGCATAACTAAGTTTCAGCATGGCAAGTAGATAAAGAACCCATATTCTTGAGTTAATTTTAAGTGGAGTTTAAAAAAGTTTCACTTGAAAATTTAATAACCAAGGATAATTAATACTGAACTTGAGTAGCTCGTTGCATCTTTCGACATTAATTATCTTGCTGATTAAATTTCTAGGATTAAATTCTGTCGACTGGCGCAGCACACGAATATTTGTCTTATTTATAATTAACATTTAGTTAACTAATAGTTTGAGTTAAATAATCTCGAAATTTAATATTCCTTTTCAGACTAAAGTCTTATTATTCGCGATACGAAAACACGCATGTGCACAAACAAATAAATTAAAAAAAATATTTATTCAATCAAAGCTGGCGCAAATGCAATAAATCCTAATAAAGCATACTTAGAGTGTAGATCAAATCAAAACAGATTATTCTGACACGCTTAGCAACGCCAGGCTGATTTTACGCCACAGCTTGAGATACACGACATGCGGCTGTCGAATCGATGCCCACGCTGCAGCATATCTGCGTCACTGCGGGCGCCAAACACATCTTCAACGGTTACTGTAATTGTCTCTCGGAAACTGGCCTCGCCAAATTTTTCCAAGTACTGTTTGCTTCGGAATATCTTCGCGATTATTTAGCATCAAATACGATCGATTATGAATTTCATTTGCACGATAGATATATCGTGTTTATTGCCGAGACGAGAGTCAGACAGCGACATTTAGCGCTAAATATACGAAGCATAGTGTCTATCGATAAAGAAAAAAATGTAATAAGCGTGTTTAAATTTTATATTTTTTTGTACATCTAATGTTATCATTAGAAGCGTTTCTGGCAGAAAAAAAATTATTATACATGACATATGAATTTCTTTTGTACCTATTTTTCGATAAAGAGATCTGTGTATAAAGTTTCAAATTAATATAAAAGAGAAACTTTCAGATGATAACATTCGATGAATAGATTTATGAAGATTTATATGGATAATTAAAAATGACTATCAAGGCTGATGTTGCATTTCAGCACTCTCCATGTCAAAAGACGTAGCCGGCGCGACGTTTATGGCGGCGGCGACGTCGGCCCCAGAATTATTCGTGAATGCCATCGGAACATTCATCACGGAAGGTGACATTGGCGTCGGGACGATAGTAGGTTCCGCAGTATTCAACATCCTGGCTGTTCCAGCCTGCTGCGGCATCGGTGCGGGAATGGTAAGTTGCCAAGTGTTCTATACTTTTGAAAAATTTAATATATAAAAGAAATAAGAAAGACACAAGAAATTGGCGTGTAATCGATATATATGCTTTCTAGAAAAAACATATCAAAATCAGCAAACACTGTGTCTGAAGAAAAAGAAGAAATTATAATATAAAATGCACAATATATCGATTGTATGAAAATTTTATATTTCCATTTTTCGCCGATATTAATTAGAATATTGCTAAAAGATACATACAAATAAATATATATTTGAATAAAAATGTGCATTTAAAATAAATATTTTGTATGTTGGCTATGAGTAGAAAAACCTATAATATAGTAGTAAACATTTTTAGTAGTAAACATTTTTTCTTCTTCAGACGATAAGCAATTGCTGAATGATATTTACCGATTACACAACTAAATCTATTATAGTAATGATATAGATTCGTTTTCTTATGTTTCTTGTTGTTATTATATTAATACTTCCGAGCGTCGACAATTTTGTTCTTACTTGTTAGATAATTACGAGTAGTCGTAGATTCTTTATCATCGTCGATCTGATATCGCCACAATGAGTATCAAACTGATATTGATAACGAGAATCGATATTAATGTGCGTCATTATATTGCGTCACTGGAAAAAAATGCGTAGTAAATATGATGTGTGATTGGTATTATCGAAAGTGCAATAAATACGTATATGATATTTTTTTGTATCGTTGAAAAAGACCAACGTATAAAATTGCAATTTTTTTTATATTCGTTGAAAAAGACCAACGTATAAAATTGCAAAACTATATAAACTGTATAAAAAAAATTTTTAGGATTTTCTATAAATACTAAAAATTTTTGATAAAATTCAGCCAAATTGATTTTTTTATCAACAAAGTTTTAGCGAAAATATAAATAATAAATCGTTACTTTCAGAAATAAATTTCACTTGATTAACTTCGTATTAAATTTCCGTCAATATATAATTAATTTGAAATCTAGATTCCCTTAACACATAAGCAAAGCACTTACGAAATACTCACAAGTATCGATTGCATATCTGATAATTCTCTTTCATTGTCAAGATGTATACAGCAACATTTATCAGAATTATTCAGGAACGCGGGTTATTAAGGATTATTCTCTATTCTCTATTCCAAAATGTTTAAACATTTACTGTTGCTCATAATAACGACCTGCCTTTCTCACGCAGGTGGTGCCTCTGGATTGGTGGCCCGTAAGCAGAGATTGTCTCGCTTACGGTGTCACAGTTGCTATTTTAATATGCATTATACACGACGAGCGAGTGGAATGGTACGAAGCGTTAACGTTGGTGCTCTTGTATATTGTTTATATCGCCGTGATGTATTGGGATAAATCGTTCCAGCGGTGTACGAGATTCCGTACGAACGAGGATCAGATATCCTCGGATGGCCGACGAGTTGCACCAGGTGAGACCGTAATTTCATTGCAACTTTAATTACCGAGCATTGTTGTTTATTTCGAGTTTAAATACGATGCACGTGAAATGAATAAAATGCAAATCTCTGAAATATTTAATTGTCTTTTTATAGAATTCTCTGCTTTTAACCAAGTTTTTGTACAAAATTGACTTTTATGCAATCAAAATGCATATTAACGTAAGAAAATTTCTGATCGAGCAATATTGTTTTTAATCATATAATCGAAATAGACAAAGAACTGAATTTTCATGTTTTATTTTTGTACTTGTTAAAGATGTAAGCGAGCAATTTCTAAAAGCACATCACATGTGCTTTTAGAAATTAATTCAAACTACAACAATACCCGTCAGCTAATTAAAATATATAACGCGTGTTTCTCGTAGATTCTAGCGATATTCACTTACCAAGACCGGACAAATTACAATCGCCAGGGGATCGCGTGGAGCAAATAGCCACTATCGACGTCCCATTACAGAACGGCGGGACCAAAACGCAGGAGGAGAACCCAGATCCTAGTAAGTTTCTTCGCTCTCTTTTTTAATTTTCGATTACGTACGAAACACGTTCGAAAACGTGCTTACGAGCGAATCGTAAGGTATAATTTGTCGCAGCAAAACTCATTACTAACACAATAGTCAAATATTTACTTTTCTAGTTTAATCTAATCGATTCCAATTATCATTCGTATTCGATAACACTTCCACGTATTTCTATCAACGTAGGAACGGTATTCGCCCACATTAGTCAAACAATACGTATTTCGTGACAGCCACTTGACCGATCAAGTGCATTAAATCACGCGCGAATGGAAATTTCCAGAGTAGCAGTCAAGATGAGAGATTAAACATTCACGTTTCATGCGTCTGACTGTTATTCGAAACTTTCGCATTATTTTACAAGACCGATCTCTGAGATCTTTAGGAAAACATTAACAAGGCAATATCTGTCGAATTTGAAATTCTCATAACATGTATGACAGATTACGAGTACGAGCTGTTGGTGTGGCCAGCACACGCTGGATGGTTGAGGAAGACCGCCTGGGTAACAACGTGGCCAATTCATTTGGTATTCATGTGTACAATCCCTGATTGCGAGAAGCCGCGATTCAAGAACTGGTTCCCCATTACGTTCTTGATGTGCATCATATGGATCGGATCACTCAGCTACGTGGTAGCGTGGATGATCACTATAATTGGTGAGTGATAATTTTAATTTCAGACTCGTCGAGAAACAGGTATACTATCGAATTTTTACTAACAAGATCGAGATTCTCATGGTTAATTCATCAATTCTTTCTTATTGAAAAAAAAATGATAGAATGTTGATTTTGTTCCGTCATTCTCTCTCGCTGTTTAAAATGGAAGAACGACGAAAGAAAAAAGCCTGACAAAAGAGATTTTATTGTGCACATAAGAATCTTTGAATTAAGTGAGTTTCCGGAAGCTGTACGATTTGTTATTTCAGGCGACACACTCAAGATACCGGATTCTGTAATGGGCATCACTTTCTTGGCGGCGGGAACCAGCGTACCCGAAGCGGTGTCGAGCGTAATTGTCGCGAAACAAGGTATATGCCTATTACATAGTGATAAATATATTAAAAATTTACTTTTTGTGACAACGTAAAAATTGGGTACGCCGATTATAAACGCGTCACAATAGACAGAATAATTTAAATTATAATTTTTGCGTGATCGATCCGAGTTTTAAATGGAGTAAAAATAAAAATACAAAACTAGGTGCGAAACCCGAGATATCGTTGTAGAAATGGACAAAAGTCATTAGACACTCGCCGGAGTACACTAACAGAAACATAATTGGGTCGAGCAATAAAAGGCCGCGAATAGCGCTCTGTTACTTCGAAAGCGCGCGGCCGTATCGAGATCCGAGTGCCACGAAAATCAATTGCACCGCTTGTTATTAGGAGTCCGAAAAAAGGGCGAGTTGCGCGAAAAACAACACGGAAAGTCTCGGAAAGACACGCTTTTTCTCCCTGTTTATTTTTCCTATTCCTGTTACCGTTCCGTTTTGTTGTCCAGGGCACGGCTCGATGGGCATCAGTAATTCGATAGGATCGAACACGTTCGATATATTGCTGTGTCTTGGACTGCCCTGGCTGATCAAGTCGTCGTTCTCGCCCACGCAGCCCGGCAGACATTACATCAGTATAAATTCCGGCGGGCTGGAGTACAGCGCCATATCGTTGCTGTCGACGCTGATGCTCCTCTACATCGCGTTCGCCTCCAACAAGTTTCAGCTCGACACAAAAGTGGGCCGCGCCTGTCTGTGCATGTACGCCGTGTTCCTCATACTGGCGTCCCTGATCGAGCTCAACGTATTCTTCATGGTAAACCTCCCCACCTGCCAAAGGACGGTGAAATGATCGGGCACCGACGGACGATGACCCGCCCGCAATGATGTCCGGGCGCGGCCCCGCTCGCAATCCGCGCCGGAAACGTTCCCCCCTCCCTCCACCCCGAACTTACCGAGAGACCCACTCGAGAGAGGGGTGTTTATTTCCATCTACACGGGACACAACTACCGTGTGTACAGTTTTAATATCATAATGTTATCGCCACATACACATACACATATACACACACCCACACGCGCGCACCCACATACACACATACACATACGCACACACATTATAGATACACACAACGTACACACATTATTAGAACCATGACAATAACGCATTTTGTATTTACTTATGCTCTAAAATCTCTTTGTCTCCCTTTGCTCTCTTCTCTTATTTTTTATCTCGTATTCATTCCCATTTTTGAATATTAATCGATATCTTTTCGCGCCATTCCATACGTTTTACGCTCTTTTTCATGGTTGTTTTTTTTTCTAATTTTTATTCGTATTAACGCCAACTCTTTATTCTTCCTTTTTTTTTTTGCTTATCTTTCTCTTAAAGTACGATCATCGTGCTTACGGCCATATTGTGTGCGCCGAAAAACCGACAACTTATGATTAGCCACAGTAACGAGCCATGGATCTCATGCCTACACGATCGGAAGTTCGCCCGTGGAATCCAGACGCGTGCGTCGATAGTTTGGCAAAGTCAATAATAGCGATAAAAAATAAAAAAAATAAAAAAAACCGGGAGAGAGAGAGAGAGGAATCGGAAAAGGGCGCTCTGCGACTGTGTCTAATTGTACGAAAGCGCGAAGAAGACTGCCGTTCCGTTAGCATATTGCAGTATCTCGGCGTCAGTGTGTAATAGCGATGAATGTGTTTACACGAGTGAACGTCATATCCGATTTAGCCGCGACAACGCGTGTTGTCCGCACAGAGCCTGCCGTTAATCACCGCGAGCCCGCCGAAGCGTCGCGTTCTTTCAACACTATGCAGCAAAGCCCTCCGCACGGAATAACTGCTGTCAACAATAATCGCCGCTGCACGGTTACTCGGTGAATTTGCATCCCAGCTCTCTCGTATCTCCGTAATATCCGAGGAAACAGCAGAAGCTCCCTGGTTTCGATCACGAACGCCTCCTTACGCTCTCGATGTAAAGCGAAAAACAACACACGTACACGAAGTCGAGCCGCTGTAATGTCGAAAAACAAGCCGTCGCACGCGATACCTTTTTTTTTTTTGCGATATACACTCTTCACATTGCGACACACAAAATCTGTGACTGTAAATGTGTCTAGATAAAGCCGTAACTTAACATTTAATAAAGTACTGTAATAAGTTATTAAAATAATGCAGCCAGTAAATCGACCCCTGTCCAGTTTCTGTGAGTGTAATTTCAAGGTAAATTTTAGCCAACGATGTTAATTTTTATAAGATAGTTTCAAAAGATGCGCTTCTATTTATGCATTTATTGAGCACAAGAAAAAAATTAATTTGCATTGAATTTTTATTTCGATTTATGTAAAAAAATTAGTAATCCGAAAGAAATGAGATCTCTGAAACGGTTCTATGCATTAATGATATAAAAGTTAGATCTACATATCTTGAGAATGATGGAATGTTAAAATAGATCATGCTTCAGCTGATGTTTATATTTCATCGCAAAGAGATATCTCATGTTTGTATGGATAACATCGGTTTTATTTTCCGTGCGCGCAGATGTTTCCAACGTACTATGATATTTCTTAGGTATTTACATTTACATAGCGAAATCGAGCGAAAGAGGATCCGAATATACATCATATCGATGCCAGCATTACTCTTTACTTTTTCGATACGCCAGATGTGTATATTTGCCATCTGAAAAACGTTCGTCGCGTGCATATATACACACCTCCTGACATATTCAGATACATTTAGATGGATTTGACACGCCGGCCGGCCGGCCGGCGACTGTTTCGCGTTCTTAGCGCCGAAAAATTAAGTCTCCACAATTAATCGATGATATCTCGCGGATCAATTATCCGAGATTAATGAATCTGGACTCGCGAGAAGCGCCGGAGTCTCAGCTTTCCAATGAGACTCGTTTCAATCCGCTACGATTTTTCTACGCGAAAATATCGTCGATTATATTGACCCGCGACGATCCTGATCTAGGGCGGTGCCGGTCGACGAAACGGTCGTCTGATTCCCGCTCACCCTACTACTGCCGATCAGCTGGTCAACTGAGCGTGGTACCGTTACGATTACGTAACAGCTGACGCGCGTCACACCTACGCGTACACACACACACACACACACACACGCGCCGCGTTATTCATAGATAATGCGTGCGCGACGAATTTTCCAAACGCTATAACTCGGACGAAAAATTGACGTAGCGACACGTGACAAAAACGAGTCTTTTGCGTTTCGCGCTCCGCAGATGCTCATGCCTGCTGCATGTGCTGTTGTCGTGACACAATTTTTACGAATTTTACAATTACAATACATTTACAAATTACATTTTACAATATTTACGAATTATTGTTGTAAGTACAGGAAAGTCTTATCTAATAATTATAGAATGCTTATTTATTCGTAAATAGTGTATATTTAGCGCGCGTAAACAATTTAATCTATTAAAAGAAATAATAAATTTACCGAGTTACTGGCTGCATAGCAACGCGTGGAAATATACATAAGTGCGTTAAATTTTACAAAACGATATGGCAATATTTAACAATATGGTCAACTGGCATGTTTTAGTTTTGTTACATTTATCAGTTCCTATATTACAACTAGCAATCCACTGTCTAATAATATTTCGTCTACCAGTTTCGCGATACAAGTTCACGTCACAAGAAACCGTATAGCACGCTAGCGGAGTCTAATCTAACTTGAAAC